TTCCTAAATCTAAACTTATCCAATATACGCCAATTGTTTAGTGTTCTGTCTTGTGTTGATACTTTTAATACCTTATTAATATCCCCTTTGTTATATCCATTCATCCACTTGTACACCTCTATCATGTAACACCCTAATTCTTTGCCTTTCTAAAAATATAATTTAAGTTTTGTCAATCTTTCTTCATATGACAGGTTTCTAATTTGGGGGATTAACTTTATCCTACGCTAGATGCATTCTAGTTAATTTATATCCATTCTGTAGGATATGAGAGACCATTCTATATCCATTCACACTAATGATGGAAGGTTTAGTGAGTGAATTGGTGCTGTGAGGGAGCTAGCTATGTGGAGCACTGAGGACAGAGTTGGAGTCTCTGCAGGAGGCGCTACAACAGCTGAAACGACGTCAAGAGGAAACACAGGAGAAGAGCAGTATTTGAAAGTCTTTGCCTTGGAATGTTGTAAAGATTAAGGGTCTTAAGAAGACTCTGAGAAAGCTGCCTACAGATGTCATAAAGACTTCCAACCCATTCTCCGTGCTGGAAGACAAGTGCTGTAGGGAGACTGCAGTTCACTTGAAAGGCAGGGCAACAAAGGGAGCGCAGGTCCGTCATGGTGCTCATACAGTAAAGGAAGTAGCTAAACAAATTTTGGTTGTGGGAGATTCCCAGGTGAGATATTTGGATATAGTTTTTTGTGCCAGAGATGGGGGAACAGGTTAAGGGTTTGCTATTCGGGAGCAAACAAATATCACCAATTTACAAATTGGTAATATAGTAAACAACATTAATGATATTATGGGTGGAAATGGGAACAAACCCATTACAGTATTTGTATCGGTGCCGATGGAAATGTAGGACGAGTTAGGAGTGAGGCACTGATACAGAGGTTTAAGACAGCTATAAAATTAGTTAGGAGCAAGGGAGGAATCCCAATGTGGCATTCTTCAAAGAAAAGGAGTTGGAAATAAATGGTTGTCCAGGGTACTTGGTGTCAATTGCAGACTAGACAAATATTGTAAATCGCTCCTATACCAGTGGGCCGGTCTTGGAGCAAGACGTGAACAGAGCGATGGGTAATATTATAAGGGATTTCGATGTGGATTCAAAATTTAACTGGGACCGACTAAAGAGCCTAAAACTGTACTCCCTTGAGCGCAGGCGGGAGAGGTACATAATAATTTACACGTGGAAAATATTAAGAGGGGCTGGTCCCAAACCTGCACACAGAAATAACATCACATGAGACCAGAAGACATGGCAGGATGTGCAGAATACCCCCGTTGAAAAGCAGAGGTGCAACAGGTACTCTGAGAGAGAACTCTATCAACATCAGAGGCCCAAGACTGTTCAACACGCTTCCACTACACACAAGGGGCATAACTGGCCGACCCCTCACAGTGTTAGAGAGAACTGGATAAGCACCTCCAAAGGATACCTGATCAACCAGGCTGTGACTCATTCGTCAGGCTGCGAGCAGCCGCATCCAACAGCCTGGTTGATCAGTCCAGCAACCAGGAGGCCTGGTTGATGACCGGGCCGCGGGGATGCTAAGCCCCGGAAGCACCTCAAGGTAACCTCAAGGTAAGGTATTTAAAAACATTTTAAGTGAAGCAGGGCGCCTGACAGCTGGTTGGACAGCGCTTCGGATTCGTAGTCCTGAGGTTCCGGGTTCGATTCCCGGTGAAGGCAGAGACAAATGGGCAAAATGTTTCTTTCACCCTGATGCCCCTGTTACCTAGCAGTAAATAGGTACCTGGGAGTTAGACAGCTGTTACGGGCTACTTCCTGGGGATGTGTAACAAAAGGAGGCTTTGTCGAGGACCAGGCCGCCGGGACGCTAAACCCCGAAATCATCTCAAGATAACCTCAAGATCAGGTTCTTTCCTTTCTGTTATCTCAGTGTTGTCCCCCTCCCCTTTGGTCCAGGACATCTTTTTTTTTTTTTTGAGGGGGGGGGGGGATCTTTTTGTTGGCCTTTGCTTCTGGTAGTCTGGTTGGTGACCTTCATGCTCTTCTCTGAAAGCAGGGGCTTTGTTAATTGGTCCCAGTGTTTTATTCCTGTGTCTGCAGCCATTACCATCTTTTTTGGTCAGGAATAAGACTGGGTTTCCAAGGGGTCCTTTGTCTTTGAGGCATGGTTGTGGTGTCCTGAGGTTCATCATGTTCCTTGTTTGATGGTGTCAGTATGATGGTACATACTTGCAATGGCACCCATGGGGCACATATAGTTGGATGCTTTATTTATTAATACTATGTCCCTGATTCCTTGTTCCAGGGTTTGGTTTAATCAGCCTGCTGTGTATCCACCAGTCCATGCTGTCTACAAGTTTGTAGCAGAATCTTCCTTTCTTTTGTAATGTCCTGGGCTTGTATATTCAAATTCATGGGTTCTGGCAGTCTAATTAGATCTTAGGGCTCAGTACCTATTACATGTCCCTAAGCAGCTCCAGACATGCTTGGACTGATTGACTTGGCACTGATCCCTGTGTGGTTAATGGCTTCTTCCATGGTAGGGATGTCTTCTGTTTGTTCTCTGTGGGGAGTTAGCTCGAGGAGACACTGAGGTGACCCCTCCCAGAAATCCACCATTGAATATGGTGTATTGAATACATGTATTGAAATGCTACTTTATGATGGGGTCTCTTGGTGGCTATCTGTTCCTGCCCTACCCTTCTTCAAAAAAGAAAACTCCTTCCTGTGGTGTTCAGAGGTTGTTGCTTGTATGATGCATAAATGATGGGTGCCTGGCCAGGTCCTCTGGGTCACCAGGGCTGTCATTTGGTGGTAACTGAGGTGCTGTTAACCCTTAAGCTGCTAAGGGGTCCTGAGGAGATTTACACCCCTGTGCACAAGAAAAAAAATTATAAATTTTTTTTTCGTCTTCTAAAAATGTTAATATGTGTTCCCTGAGCACGGGAAAAATACAAAAAATCATAGGTGACATATTTTGGGCGCAATAGACCGAGGAAGTCTGGCAAAAATTGGGTGTTGACAGAGCAGTCGTCAGAGCCGGTCAGCGTCACTCGCGCTGACAGGTGGGAGTTGCCACAAAGATGATATCACTTAATTATTTCAATGTTTCTGATTGATTTTGTCTTATTTTTTTGCAGTAATATTATTCAGTAGTGTGTATTGTGATATATTTATATAATAAAATGGGTGAATAATCGCTATACTCAAAAGTATGGTGTGCATACTAATGATTCAATTATTATGTTCATAAAACAATAAACAAATAGTTTTACTGTTATTACACTCTATACACAGGTTATATATAAGTATCTGCATGTTTTGTTCACCATAACGCACCACTAAGTTGGTATTGAGAGTCGAAAAGCAACTAGGAGTGACCGCCACACACCAGCCAGCCACTCGTTGCCACTCCCTCAACAACGCCTCACTCGCCCACTTTCTCCTCCCACCATCCTGTTTTATATTTTATTCACAATATACAGACGTTATATATAAGTATCTACATGTTTTGTTCACCACAACTGTACAACTAAGCTGATATACTGTAGTTAGTTCAGGCACTAAGAGTCGTCGCTACACACAGCTGGCAGCTCCCTCACTTATTCAAGGTCACACGCACTAAACTTTCTCCCCCAACAATACCGTTTGTGGTGTTATTACACTATATACAGACATTATATATAAGTATGTACAGTATATGTTTTGTTCACAACAACTGTATAACTAAGCTGATATACTGTAGTTCAGGCACTAAGAGACGTCGCTACACACAGTTAGCTGGCGGCTACTTCCCGCACTCATTCAAGTTCACACGCACTAAAATTTCTCCCCCAACAAAACTGTTTGGAGTGTTATTACACTATATATACATATTATATATAAGTATCTACATGTTGTATGCACCGTAACTTTACACCTAAGCTTGTAGAGTGCCCAAAGAGCATAGTGGCCACCCTCTACACAGCCAGGCAAATCATGCAGACGATGTCACCTCTGTCACCCAAATGGCTCCTCCCAACATAATCCTTTTGCTGTTATTACACTAATACACACATTATATACAAGTATCTACATTTGTGTTCACCATAGAGAACCACTGAGCTGGTATGGTGAATGCAGACAATAACAGGTGGCCACACAGGCAGTAAACGATGCAATCTCCCTCCGTCCCTCAGCATCACTCCTCCCACAGCGCTAATTATTACAACAATCCTGCTATTATCACAATCCTGGTCATTCTTATCACAGTCAGGGGTCATCTGTAATATTGTCATCGCTAAATAATAGCAGTTATAAATTTATTTTGACATTTTTCGGCGATGCTGTGGTCACAAGCTGAACAGCAATGCTGTTCGCTCATGTTGCCAGCCTTGGTTGCGCCAGCCTTGGTTGCTCCAAGAGTACTGTGGCTCTCACACTCTGAGAATATTGCCCACGATTTAAAAAAAATGGCGTCTGTTTACAAGAGCCCTGAGGAAGCTAATGTGAACCCCGTGTAGCTGCGTGCCATTTGAATCGTGCCTGGCACCCTACGGCGTATATATACGCCATGCGCACAATGGGACATGTTACTCATGGCGTATATATGTACCATGCGCAGTTTAAGGGTTAACTAGCAGTTGGATCTAGACCATTGTTCCAAATGTTGCCTAAGGAGTTGCTGGTTTTGTGTGCTCTACCTTTCTGGTGATTTTTTCTCTTGGTTATATAGTGATCTTATATTCCCCTTGTCTCTATTGAGGGAGCCAAATTTTGGTTCTGGTCTCAGGTAGGCACTCGTGATTTATTAGAGCCTGGTGGGTATCAAAGGTTTAGAGACTACCAAGTGATTAGTTCAGTGAGTCTGAGGGACCCACCAGAAAGCAGCATTTCATTACTTTCAATACCGGACTAATTTAGTTTTTTATGCTGAAATGGTACAAGGCTATCGGTGGAAGTTTTTGTTCCTGTATTGGCTTGCAGGCTTTGAGGTGTGCACTACCTCAGCTCACTTTAAAGCCTAACCCTAACATTTTGTCCCCAGAACACGATCTGCTAGTCGATTTTCATCCAGGTCCCCAGTTTCTTCTGGGAGCACAGGGGCAAAATGGAGTGAAGGAACTTCGCCCAAATCATTCCATCCTGCCCAGGATTCAAACCTTGGACCTCTTGCTTGTGAAGCGAATGTGCTAGTCACTACACCAAATAACAATAAGTAAATAGGATACAATTTGGTTATTGGTTCCTTATTTCTTAATTGTGTATTTTTAACAATAAATTAGTGTTTCAATAAGTTATTAATGATAGTTGTTAGTGGGTGTATTTTTGTTGTATACAGTATTATTATTTTGAACATTTCAAATATTTGAAATGGTATGCAAATACTGTACTGTATTGCAAATAATAACAACATAAAAATGAAGGTAATTGCAGAAGCAGACGAGGAGTCACAATAACGTGGCTGAAATGTGTTGACCAAACCACACACTAGAAAGTGAAGGGGTGACGACGTTTCGGTCCGTCCTGGACCATTCTCAAGTCGATTCTGAGAATGTCACAATCGACTTGAGAATGGTCACGACGGACCGAAACGTCGTCGTCCCTTCACTTTCTAGTGTGTGGTTTGGTTAACTGCAGAAGGCCTGTTGGCCCATACAAGACAACTCCTATTTATATCCATCCAATCTTATTCATATATATGTCTAATCTACGCTTGAAACAATCAAGGGATCCTTCTATTATGTTAGGCGGTAATTGGTTCCGGAAATCAACAACCCTGTTACTGAACCAGTATTTACCCACACCTTTCCTAAATCAAGGTAGTGTTCTGAGCACTACTCTTTTTCTGGTTGCCCTCAATGGTCTTCTTTCCTCTCTTCATTCTGGCATCTTCTCCGCTCTTTATGTCGACGATCTTACCCTTTGCTGTTGAGGTGATGATTCGCCTCTCCTTCAACAGCGTCTTCAACTTGCGATTGATGCCGTGTCATCTTGGGCCACGAATCATGGCTTCAAGTTCTTTGCAACTAAGACTTGTGTTATGACTTTTACTCGAAAGCATGTCATCCTTCTTTGTCACTTTATGGTCATCCCCTTGTGTACAAAGATTCCGCGAAGCTTTAGGGCTAATTAATCTCTGACAGTTGTTTGTCTTGGTCGCCCCATATCTCTTGCCTCCGAGTTGAATGCTCTAAGGTTTTGTCCCATGCTTCTTGGGGAGCGGATAGGCGCACACACCTCTATTTGCACTCTTCTCTTGTCCTGTCTAAACTCGATTATGGTTGCTCTACATACTCTTCTGCTTCTCCTTCTATTTTTCGCAGTCTTGATCCTTTGCACCATACTGGGTTGCGCCTCGGCTCTGGTGCCTTTTGTTTAACTCCTACTCTCAGCTTGTACGCTGACACTGGCTTCCTATCTCTCCAGGACCGCCGTGATCGCTACTGTCTTCGCTATCTTGCACAGTCCTTACAACATCCTCACTCTCGCCTCTGTTATGCTTTGACTTTTTCCCCACCTGTAGTTACTGTTCCTCTTCACCACCATCCTCTTTCTGTCCGTTTGTCTCACTTACAAGATTCTCTTTCGGTTTGTATTACCAATGTTTCTCCTCGTATTTTTCCGTCCTTGTTCCCGTGGAGGGTCCCCCTTCCCAAATTTTGTACTTTACTGACCCGCATCACTAAAGCTATTACCCCCTCGTTCAGTTCTAAAATGCCTTTTCCTTGAGCACTTTTCTTCACACTCCCACTCCGTTTCCATCTTCACCGATGGGTCTAAGTCTGCTGACAGTGTGGGCTACTCTGTTGTTTTTCCTGACCACACTTATGTGTGTCGCCTTCCTCCGGAGGCTAGCATCTTCACAGTAGAATTTTATGCTATTCTCTATGCTCTTCGTCTCCTGCTTTCTCGTTGTCAATCCCTCTTTGTGGTGGTAGTTGACTCTTGTAGTGCCCTCATGGCTTTGGGGTCCTTTAATCCGGTCCACCCGGTGGTCATCGAGATTCAACATTGGCTGTTTCTTATCTCCAGTAAATTTAAGTCAGTACAGTTTTGCTGGGTTCCCAGCCATGTTGGTGTCTCTTTAAATGACGTGCGGATACTGCTGCTAAGGAAGCTATCCGCACTTTTCCCATCTCCCGTGAAGGTATTCCTTATTCCGACTTTTATCCAGTTATTCATTCCTCCATCCTTGCCCGTTGGCAAGATTGTTGGTCTTCTGTTACTGGTAACAAACTGCGTACTCTTAAAGAGTCGTGTATCCAGGAGGGCCTTCCTCCTACCACTGTAACCGGCATTGGGAAACGGCTCTGGCTAGGTTATGTATTGATCATACACGTTTAACTTACGGTCACTTGATAGAGCACCGTCCTGCTCCTTATTGTCCAAGTTGCATTGTTCCTCTTACAGTTGTGCACATTCTTGTTGAATGTCCTGACTTCCAGGACAAGCGTGTGTCTTGCTTTCCGACCGTCCCTCACGGTCAATTGTCTCTCGATAGAATTCTTGGTGAATCGGATACTTTTGATATCGATCGCTTTGTGTTTCTGTTCTCGTATTGGCATCCTTGGTGATATTTAGTGCCCTCTGATTACTCCGCACATTTGGTGGAGCCACATTTGGTTCCCGGTTTGGTGTTTTCTTTTGATAGTTACTTACTTTCCTAAATCTAAACTTATCCAATTCATACCCATTGTTTCATCTTCTGTCTTGTGTTGATACTTTTAATACCCTATTAACCACTGACCTGCTCTGCATTAAAATAATTTCTTTCCAAAAAATTATTTTCTCTTTTTATATTGTTAAAATGCAGTCTCTGATCACGGGAAACTAAAAGAAAATATTGTATGTGACATACTTTAACAGCGATGGAGCTGGGAAGTTGAGCATATTATGAGCTCTGAGCGATAGAGCTGTTGAGCATATTATGGGTGCTGAGCGATGGAGTTCTCAAGGTCACTAGGCCCCACCACCCTGTGCGGCAGCAGTTGCTGCGAATGTAATGTTTCACAATTATTTTGATGTTTCTCATTTGTTTCTTCTCTGGTTTTATGCTGTAATATTATTCAAAAGTGTGGAATTTGTGGAGTTTATATAGCTCAATGTTTGGAACATTGCTATGCTCAAAATTATGGGACTCATATATGTTACATGTATATTATATTCTACGATCAATCAGTGTTTTTACTGTTATTACACTATATACACACTTTGTATATACCTATCTACATATGTGTTCACCATAATGAACCACGAAGTTGGTATGGTGAGCCCCAAAAACAAGAGTGAGCTGCCACACCCAGCCAGCCCTCCCTCACTCCTTCAACATCTAATTCGTCAACATTACTCCTCCCACAATACTGTTTGTGGTGTTATTACACTATATACACACATTATATAATTAGTGATAATATACTCCCTCATTGATAATATACTGGCAATATATATTGTAATATGGGAATGTGGATTTAGGAACTAGTAATGGAGTAAGTGAATACCATTGCAAGCCGGAAAGTAACCAGAAAATCCTTAGGATAATACAGGCAAATAATTCAAGTGTTATAAAATCAAGGAACTGGCAACCGGTGGCATCCAGCCCGCGACCTGGGACAACCGTCAACTGTACGGTCCCCCAAAGGGACCATTTTCTCCACCATGCGATAAGTACCCCACATAAAGTTGAACAAATAAACATATATAATATTATAAATATACTGTATACACATCATATATACATACATATACAGTAATATTATAAATATATTCATATAATATTATAAATAGTAAAATTACTAAAGTCAACAAGGGATAAATGGACAATACATCACAAATAGGGGAACAGTCAATCTCTACATCACAAACCCAACATGGAGACGTGTGGAGGCTGCTTTAAGCCACTTCGGAAGAGTGTTGTAGGGATTGTATGTAACATTTGTAACATAAGATTTCACCTGAGTTTTACAGGATTACCTATACAATATGCAAACAGACAAGATAACTACTGGATCTGTCACAATGATAGACTGATGTGGGAAAACATCACCACACTAATGAATGACATTCCTGAAGTACATAGGCTACAATTCACTCAAAAACTACCATAAATATATGCAGAGTATGCAAAGACAGCAACAAACACTGAACACAACCCAGGAACTGAGAGTTTAGAGAGCCACATTAGCAATGTAGAAGGACATTGTGTCGAGGTACACGAAAATGAAGACAATACTTTCGAGCAAACTGGTAATAGGAGTAAGGAGAGAAACAATGAGAAGGACGAGAACACAAATGAGAAAGACGGAAGCAACAAGGAGAAAGATAAGGGCAATACTGTACCGAGAAAGAATGCGGAAACGAGAAAGTTGGAACAAATAACACAGATGTAAGCAAGTTGTGCACGGGTACAAACAATAAAAATACAGCCACAGATGAAAATATTTGCAGATATTATGCAAAAGGACAGTGCAGATATGGGACCAGAGGCATGGAATGCACATTCATGCATTCCCGGACATGCCGAAACATGTTAGGGAAAGGCAGATATCGTTTTGAAACAGATTGTAGATGATTCTACCCTAAGCTATGCAAACTCTCAGTGAATGAGAGGAAATGCTATGATCTTCATTGCCCTGATTTCCATGTGAGAGGTACACAGCGCTATTTAATAGAGGAAGTCCAATACTGTATAATTGCCCGGGAAATTTTTTAGAAGCAATCAGAACCAGAGGGAGGAGCAGACAGGCAGAAACGTTGCAGGAGTACGGATGAAGAGGGGGAAATGCCCAAGACTGGACTACAATTCGTCATCAAGCCCACACATACTACACCCCCCAACTACACACAAACTACCACACTCCACAATACCACTTCCAAAACTGGACAAACCATTGCCAGACCAGCACACCCTGGGTCAGGGTAGAGAGGAGGGAGAACTATGAAAACCTTCCGGAAGTGACACACAATATGGACAATCATTCATATTTGCCAACATAAAAGGTCTAAAGTCAAAATCACGAAATAAAGTTAAGTTCATAAATGGCCTCCTATTAAAGTCAAGCTCAATATTTGGGACATTCACGGACACCCATACAAAAGATTACATGGATAGTGAAATCTGGATTACAAATTATAATTTATATAGATGTGATAGAGAAACTAGGTCAAATGGAGGAGTAGATCTGTATATTAAAGAGGACCTGGTATGCACAGAGCTACTAAACTCAACTAATGAGGTGGTAGAGGTACTGTACTTGGAATTAAGGTAGAAAAAATAAACCTAATTATTATTCTAATATGTAAACTGCCAGATACAACGGTTGAGGAAGAATTCACAGAGTAGATTCACAAAATAGAGAACATCCTTGATAATCTAGCGAACCCAGCCCCAGATATTATCTTCCTTGGAGATTTCAATTTACAAAGTCTAAGATGGAGAATGGCAAACACAAATATCATAGCAGGGAACGACCTGGGAAATAACCAGTTACAGGTCAGAGAACTTTTGAGATTCTGTGACAAATTCTCGCTCAATCAACAGATCACAGAACCCACTAGGAATGAAAACACACTAGACTTGTTATTCACAAACAATGATGAGCTAATCAGAGACATTGCAATCTCAGATACTACACACTCAGACATTAAGCTCATTGAAGTGCGAACTAGCATAAATAACGGTAGTAGGTCTAAGAGACCCAACAAGCGAGAAGGGGTATTCAACCAATTCAATTTCAACAATAAGAGGATCGCCTGAGAACAAATAAATGTAGACCTTGCAAACATTCAATGGGAAACGGTCTTAAGCGACAAAACTCCCTCACAGGGAATAGCTCAACTGACGGCTGAAGCATACAAGGTCTGCTTGAAGCAAGTTCCTGTGAGGCGGGTCAGAAAGAGAACACAGACGACTGTACAGGAGAAGGAAAAAAATAACAAATGCTTAGGCAGACACGACTATCACAAGAAAGGAAAATAAACCTAAACAGGGAGATCAAAGAAATAGAATAAACATTGAAGCTATCATATAAGCCTGAAAAATAGAACTGGAACAGAAAGCTATACAAGAGATAGAGAAAAATCCAAAATAATTTTTCACATATGCAAAATCAAAATCAAAAACCTCCACCAGTATTGGACCTTTAATCACAACTGAAGGTATGTACACGGAGGACAACAAAGAAATTAGTGAAATTCTAAGAAGCCAGTATGAGGTGATGTTTAGCACTCCAATAAACATGAAAGTTGATGATCCAGACAGCTTCTTTATGAATGACATTCGAGCTGCAAATAATATAACGGATATTAACACAAACTCAGAAGACTTTGAAAGAGAAATTGACAATATGCCCATGCACTCAGCTCTTGGGCCGGACTATTGGAATTCAGTATTCATTAAGAAATGTAAAGTACCAGTAGCGCGAGTGCTCAGCATAATATCGAGAAAGAGCCTGGATACAGAGAGAGATACCAGCTGCACAAAGAGGGGTAGTAAAGCCTTGGCAAAAAATTACAGACCAGTTGCACTAACATCACACATAATAAAAGTTTTGGAAAGAGTGATTAGGAATCAAATTTCTAGTTTTATGGAAAATAATGAACTACACAACCCAGGACAACATGGATTTAGAGCGGGAAGATCCTGTCTGTCACAATTGCTCAACCACTATGACAAAATCACAGAAGCTCTAGAAGAAAAGATAAATGCAGATGTAGTATACACAGACGTTGCAAAGGCATTCGACAAATGTGATCATGGAGTGATAGTACACAAAATGAGGTCAATAGGAATAACTGGTAAAGTAGGACGTTGGATACTCAATTTCCTGTCGAACAGAACACAGAGTAACAGTCAATCAAATAAAATCGAGTCCAAGCACAGTTAAAAGCTCTGTACCTCTAGGTACTGTACAGTCCTTGCACCACTGCTTTTCCTTATTCTCATATCAGATATAGACAAAAATACCAGTTACAGCCTCGTGTCATCCTTTGCAGATGACACAAAAATCAGCATGAAAATTACTTCTGCGGAAACATTGAAAAACTACAGGCCGATATCAACAAATTTTTTTATTGGGCAGCAGAAAATAACATTGTTTAGCAGTGATAAATTCCAGGTACTCAGGTACGGCAAAAATGAGGATCTAAAACATAATACAGGGTACAAAACACAATCGAATCTGCCCATAGTAGGAAAACAGCATGCAAAGGATTTGGGAATAATGATGTCCGACAACCTAACGTTTATGGAGCATAACCAAGCAAATATTGCGGGAGCCAGAAAAATGATAGGATTGATTATGAGAACTTTCAAATCCAGGAATCCCATCACAATGGTTGTACTCTTTAAGTCACTTGTGTTGTCCTGTCTTGAGTACTGCTCAGTACTCACTTCCTCCTTCAGAACAGGAGAGATTGCTGAAATAGAGGGAATACAGAGAACATATACTGCACGCATAGATGCGATAAAGCACCTAAATTATTGGGATCATCTCAAAGCTCTCCAAATGTACTCGCTTGAAAGGAGACGAGAGAGATGCCAAATAATATACACATGGAAGATACTGGAGGGCCAGGTCCCAAATCTACACAGTAAAATAACAACATACTAGAGTGAACGATATGGAAGAAAATGCAGAATAGAATCAGTGAAGAGCAGAGGTGCCATAGGCACAATCAGAGAACACTGTATAAACATCAGAGGTCTGCGGTTCTTCAACGTCCTCCCAGCGACTATAAGAAATATTGCCAGAACGTACCCGGTAGAGGGACTTCCCCCATCCCCCTACCGGGTAAAGGGGAGTTGCACAGACGGATGCGCAGAGGTTGTAGTGACGTCATGCTTGTTTGCTTGTTTTTGATTGGGGAGTTGTGCTTGCTAGTTTGGCTTTCGGTTTGCAATTTTTGACCACCAGTAGTTTGTTTTGGAATTCCTACCTTCCTGGTTGATGGCAGACAAAGACTGCTTCCAATTACACGGGAGTGTCTTTAGACCATTGCTCTTGTTGAGCAATCTTCTCTTTTTGAGGGGGGCCAGGTTCTGGCTCTGGTCTCCGGTAGGCCTAGAACTCCATTGATTGACTTGCCACGGTCTAATATGTGCACATCAGCCCCGTATAGCTCTGGGGAGCCTCTAGGTCTCACCCAGAAAATGGCATTTCATTACATTCAACATTGGTTTTTTGTTTATTAACATAAAAGTTCTTATTATATATCATGCCATGGGTCCCAAGAAAGTCAGTGGTAAAGTTCATTCTAAACTTTTGTTGAAAAGGCTTACCCAAATGAAGCTATAAAAGGCTGTTGTGTTAACCTTTTTAATGACAATGTGATGTCTCACTTCAGACAAGGGTTACATCGTAGGGAAAAACAAGTGTTGCTTGACAGGTTTTTAGTGAGAAAAAAAGTAGTGAGCCACAAGCAGGTCTTAGTGGTATGCAGACAAAACTTAGGAGAGAGAGTACCCCAGAAAAGTCATCACTGCCTGATGTTATAATGGAAGGGGACTCCCCTTCCAAACACTAACATCTCTCCTTCCCTTCTCCTCACTGTCTTCCATATGCCAACAAGAGTCCTCATTCAAGGTAAGATATACATACTGTATTGTAGCTAGTACAAAATGAGTATTATTCAATATAAAACGCATTTTAAAGTTATTTTTTGGGGGGTTGTGGAACGGATTAATTCAATTTACTGTACATTATTTCTTATGGGAAAATTAGTTTTGGTTGACGATGAGTCTCTGGGAATGGATTACGATTGTAAACGAAGGTACCACTGTAGCTGAAATACCTGAGGAAGGTTTCCTAGTGGGCTACTCCTGTAGGAAAGTTCCTTGAGGGAACAAAGCGTGATAGGATTCATATAGATAATGAAGAAAATAGTAATCTCTTCAGTATAAAGTGGGTCTTCAGAATTATTTTAGCCTAAACTAATTTTAAGTGTAAAGGGTTATATAGATGATTCAAATTTAAAATATGTATGGTGTAATGGTAGTACAGTATTAGTTATTTATATATACTGTAATATTTCCAATTGTTAAATGTTAATTATATATAAATGTTAAATTATTAATAGTATTAATCAGTGCTTAATATTATTAAACACCTAGCTTATAGTTTTTACTATGTCCCCTTCTCTTCTTTATAGTAACATGGACATCCAATACACACAAATACGAGAGCTGAAGCCTGGAATGAAGAACCTCAGGCTTGTGTTCATAGTGTTGGAAATTGGTAAGTTAATTAAAAGATCCTGGTGTACAGAATTAAAATCTGACCATTAGACTTTCCTATGGTGCTGACAAATTCTGTCATGTCAGTGAGGATCAATATTTAACCTCTGCTCTGTGCACTAGATTTTACATGATAACCAGCTAGTGCACAAGATTTATTTATTTTTTTTTTTTGAGATATATACAAGAGTTGTTACATTCTTGTACACCCATACACCCTACATTCATGTTACAACCATAAAGGAGACCTGGTCAAGGACCGGGCCGTGGGGATGTTGAGCCCCGAAATCGTCGCAAGGTAAGGTAACTAGCTGATGCACAAGATTTACATAACCAGCTGGTGCACAAGATTTACATAACCAGCTGGTGCGCAAGATTTACATAACCAGCTGGTGCACAAGATTTACATAACCAGCTGGTGCACAAGATTTACATAACCAGCTGGTGCGCAAGATTTACATAACCAGCTGGTGCACAAGATTTACATAACCAGCTGGTGCGCAAGATTTACATAACCAGCTGGTGCGCAAGATTTACATAACCAGCTGGTGCACAAGATTTACATAACCAGCTGGTGCACAAGATTTACATAACCAGCTGGTGCACAAGATTTACATGACACATGGCTGGTGCAAGAGGAAAAAATATGAACAATTATTTTTTTGTAATATTATTAAAATGTGTTCCCTGATTACATGAATATTAAAAATGATATACTGTACTTTGCTTTGGCTGTGGTGGAGAGAAGAAACCATGCGATGACATCACAATTCACGCGCTTTGATGGTTAAACTTTCCTGAGGATATTTCCCAGGCCATGCACAAGATAAGAGTGTAATTTGAGAAATTTCTGTAATAAAATGTGCAGAACATCAGTACACAAAAATACATTCATGTCACTAACATGAGCACAATATTATATTCTTTGGACAATAAAACATAGTTTCTGGGGGGAACCCCTTTAGCTCCAAGGAGCTATCCAGGCTGATATATATATATTATTAAGCTTTGGAATCAGTCAGTGTGAACGGAGTTCTAGGGATACTGAGGACCACGAGCCAGAACCCGGCCCCCTCAGAGAGGCATGAGGAGCAACCTCACCATCCATCCATCCAGTCCCCTCACCATCCATCCATCCAGTCCCCTCACCATCCATCCATCCAGTCCCCTCACCATCCTGGGACTCATGGTGTGATATATAATAAGAACTTTACTGTTCAGAAAACAAAAAGCTTAAAACAGTGAAATTCTTTACAAAGAATTCAAGATCGGTCGTCGGAGTAGACTTGTAAACAAACTGAGAGCGCCTTGCCCCTTGCCCCCAGCACCACGCTCTCGTTCGACCCCATATGTGTACGAACAGACATCGTGTTCCAAGTAAACTGTTGTCTTCCAGTCCAAATTTTGTGATGAATTTGACGTCGTGTTCCAAAAAATTTGTCTTCTAGGGCAATCGTCAACCAAAGTTCCATTGTATACTGGTATATCTTGAACAGGTATAAGAAAGTAGAGCTTTCCTGGATGCCCAGTGGTGTCCTTCATACTTGCCTCATGATTGAGGATATCTGGTTGGAACTCAGGGCAGGACAGAAATGGATGGGTATGTTTCCTTTCATGTGATGCCTCTCTTCACCTGGCAGTAAGTAGGTACCCTGAGATTTAGGCATCTGTTGTGGGGTTGCATCCAGGGAAAGGTCAGTAGTTGACCTATTGGAACCTTGGTAAGATTTAGTACAGGCTTCTTGTCCTGAACAAAGTGCATTATATTGGTGTTGCCTGTAATGATTTAGTGAATGCAGTAGCTAAGGCAGCTATTTCAACTATGCCATTTCCTATAATCCCATTCCATTTTGGATTACTAATTTATAAATAATAATGTTAACTGTAACTGACAGATGGCTGACTACTACCAATACTGTAATATATTTCATGCCATCAAATATGATCAATATTCATGAGCTTCCTTATTTGTCTGCCATAGGATATTAGTAATGTTCTGGGTCCACTTGTGTAGCTGCCACACAAGGTCCACTTGTGTAGCTGCCACACAAGGTCCACTTGTGTAGCTGCCACACAAGGTCCACTTGTGTAGCTGCCACACAAGGTCCACTTGTGTAGCTGCCACACAAGGTCCACTTGTGTAGCTGCCACACAAGGTCCACTTGTGTAGCTGCCACACAAGGTCCACTTGTGTAGCTGCCACACAAGGTCCACTTGTGTAGCTGCCACACAAGGTTAACTTGTGTATACTTATTGGAATGATAGCCTGTCTCAAATTGTCTGAATTGCATTGTTTTGCTTACAGTTACATGTCTAGTTGATTTATGATTTTCCAGATTATTGCAAACTTTACTTCTCAAGTGTTTATTTACACCAAATTTCTCTTGATAAAATCCTCAGTGAATCTGCCTCTTTAAGTGTAGATAAACTTGTCTTTAAGTACATATAGGGATTCAGAGTGATATCTAGGAACTTTTAATTCATCTGTGACTTGCATAGTACTATACTGGTACTGTATAGCCATACTGGCTTATCACTTTTTGATAAGAACTTGAAAGGAAGAATGAAATTTTTCTCAAGTAAAGCTGATAGTTTTTGGATGATATGATATTACTGTAATTACTGTATGTATGATATGTCTACAGGTAGACCAAATATGACTAAGGAAAACCACGAAGTGAGGTCGGTAAAAGTGGCAGACCGTAGTGGGTGTATCAACATATCTCTGTGGGATGAGCCAGGCCAGCTGTTGCAAGTGAGTTGGGGAATCACACCATTAATCGTAGGTGGTAGACTGACATTGTACAAACTCTCATATGTTGCATGTGGTAAGTGTGGCTTAACCTTCATTAATGTCTCCCAAGGTACTGTGATTGCTCTGGTATGTTTTCTCATCCTCATATCCGATGCAAATATCAGATGACAAGAATGCAAACTGTAGTACATACTGTATCATCCTTCGCAGATGACACTAGGATTTTTATAAAAGTAGACAATATAGAGGACACAATAAACCTCCAATCTGATGTTAATAAAGTTTTTCAGTGGTCCATACAAAATATGATTAACCACTGGACTGCGCTTGCCAATAAAACTCGTTTCAGAAAAAGAGCAGGCCAAGAAAACATGATTTCGTATCATTCAAATCTCGCGAGCGGTAGGTTGGGTACGAAGTGGACTCCTAGGATCTCCAGTGAGAGGCAGCCATCTTGAAAAAAATTCCCAGAATACCCTAGGGCTGGTGGCTGGCTCAGTTCTGAGTGACCAACCATGCATGACGCACGCGCCTCTGGTTCCCAATCCGCGCCTGTCGAACGTGGTGTTGAAAGATTGCTCTCTGTCGGTGAAATTCAGACCTTATTGTTTGAAGAACATAAGTGATCTTGATATTGATGAAGCTAGGCACGATAAGGACCTAACTCAAGGGTCCGAAACAAGTGATACAGCACCAACGAGGATGCTACAGCGAGCGTATCCAGTAGTGGCTGAGCGCCACCCGTGCCCACCCGTGTCAGTCTCCAATTTTTATAGATACTATAGATGAACCGCTTTCTGGGTTCAGTGATGACTGATACAAGTAGTATAGATGAACAGTGTGTTAGCGGCTTCCATGGTGGTGTTTATTGCCAGGGGTAATGGTGGCAATACAAGGAGCGCAGGTGAATTCGCGAGGGAGTACTGTGATAATTTTGTAACACAAATCTCAATTTGATGATTCTGATGTTGGTGTTGCACCCACTTTTCCATATACAGGTGAAGATATGAGTGATACCAGGACAGACTTTTGTCATTGAGCTTTTCTTAGAAAGAATAAAAGTTTTTCCAAGAGAACCTGGATTTTTTTCAATCCTACCTTACAAAGTGATCTTTTCAATAATAGCTGAATATTCCAGCATACCTGAATCTTATCAATCCTACCTTACAAAAGCAATTTTTTCAAGAATAGCTGAATCTCTTCCAGAATACCTGAATCTTTTCAATCCTACCTTATAAATCAATCTTTTCAAGACTACCTTACAAATTGATCTTTTCCTATAATCTTTTCAAGACTACTTTATGCATCACAAGCTTGGCTACATACCACCTACAGGTACTAAAGCCAAGGGTGTACGTGAGTGTGTTATTTGCAAGCACACAGAACAAAATAACAGGAAGCGAAAATCTGTCTGTACTTTGTGCATCGATTGCAAAGTCACGCTGTGTACCATGGACTGCTTCTTTGATTTTCACTCGCTTCCAAAGTACTGATCATGCCTCTCACAGCTACTTGATTACTACGACAAAGACACCGAGGCATTATCAGAAAAACAGAATGCTGATGTGGTATACACGGACTTTGCAAAGGCTTTTGATAAATGTGACCATGGAGTGGTAACACACAAAATGAGGTCAATGGGAATAACCGGTAAAGTAGAACGCTGGATACTCAGTTTTCTGTCAAACAGGACTCGACGAGTAACATTCAATCATAAAATCGAGTCCAAGCGCAGTTAAAAGCTCTGTACCTCAGGGTACAGTCCTTACACCGCTGCTTTTCCTTATTCTCATATCAGATACAGACAAAATTACAAGTCACAGCTTTGTATCATCCTTTGCAGATGACACAAAAATCAGCATGAAAATTACCTCTGCGGAAGACATTGAAAAACTTAGAGCGGACATTAATAAAGTTTTCGACTGGGCAACAGAAAATAACATGATGTTTAACAGTGATAAATTCCAGGTACTCGGGTACGGTAAAAATGAGGACCTTAAACGTAATACAGGGTACAAAACACAATCAAATGTGCCCATAGTGGGAAAACAGCATGTAAAGGATTTGGGAATAATGATGTATGACGACCTAACGTTTAGGGAGCATAACCAAGCAAATATTGCGTCAGCCAGAAACATGATCGGATGGATTACGAGAACTTTCAAATTCAGGGATCCCATCACAATGGTTGTACTCTTCAAGTCACTTGTGTTGTCCCGTCTTGAGTACTGCTCAGTACTCACTTCTCCCTTCAGAGCAGGAGAGACTGCTGAAATAGAGGGAATACAGTGAACATATACAGTACCTATAGACATGATAAAGCACCTAAATTATTGGGATCGTCTCAAAGCCCTCCAAATGTACTCACTAGAAAGAAGACGAGAGAGATATCAAATAATATACACATGGAAAATACTGGAGGGCCAAGTACCAAATCTACACAGTAAAATAACAATGTACTGGAGTGAACAATATGGAAGAAAATGCAGAATAGAACCAATGAAGAGCAGAGGTGCCATAGGCACAATCAGAGAACACTGTATAAACAACAAAGGTCCGTGGTTGTTCAACACCCTCCCAGCGAGCATAAGAAATACTGTACAGTACTTTTATTGTCGGAACAACCGTGGACATCTTCAGGAGGAAACTAGATTGTTTCCTCCAAGGAGTGCCGGACTAACTGGGCTGTGGTGGATATGTGGGCCTGTGGGCCGCTGCAAGCCCCATAGCAGCTGTCTAACTCCCAGGTACCTATTTACTGCTAGGTGAATAGAGGCATCAGGGTGAAAGAAACTCTGCTCATTTGTTTCTGCCTCTGCCGGGGATCGAACCCGGAACCTTAGGACTACGAATCACGAGTGGTGTCCACTCAGCCGTCAGGCTGGTTACGTCATTTATTTGTTAAACGAGTGATCTTATTATCCATCCAGACTGTAATTGATTGTAGAGATATCTCTAACACAGTAGTCATTTCTCCCCCTCACTATGATAATCAGGGTGAGCATTTTCCGCTGTAAGGGCGGACTCTTCTTATGGGGTTATAGAGTACAATTATTACAGCCTTAGGTTTACAAATTAATAACAACTGTTACAATGTTACAATAGTTATTACCATAGTTGTTATAATAGTAGCAGCAATTGTTATGCTTGTTACTTGTATGCTGGAAACTCTTTTTTCAAGATGGCGGATGCTCACTGGAGGCCTCAGACCTCCATTTGCTACCCAGGTTACTGCACATGAGTTTTGAATCTTACGATATACCCACAAACAACATATCTCTGTAGGCACACCACCCATCCATCAACTGAGATATCTCAGGTTGTGCAGTGCAGGGCTTAAGATAAATTTAGTAAAAATGGATAAATTCCTTATAGATTTCCTTAATAAGGAAACTTTTCTTATTAAGAATACTCAATAGCTCGGTCGATAGAGCTTCGCCCTCTCACGCACGGGGTCCACAGTTCGAGTCTCCTAGAGCCCAGGTGAATGGAAATCCAGGATGAAAGTTTAATGATAAAACCAACTGATTAGTGTTAGGCAAAGTTTGTTGTGTAATTATATGCTGTCCCATAATTATAGCATTCTTGATACAGTATTCAGTCAAGTGATTCTTCTTGTTTCAGCCAGGTGATATTGTTAACCTGACGAAAGGCTATGTGAGTGTATTCAAGAATTGCCTAACACTCTATGTTGGCAAAGGTGGAGATTTACAAAAAGTGAATGAGTAAGTAAAGTACATCACAGCTACTTATCATACTGTACTTCTGTTTCTATTCCATGGCTCTCACTTCTTGTATTATGTCTATACTATTTGATTATATTTTGATTGACTATTACTCAAATTAATTTTGCAATTGATTCTAGGGCTTGTTAAACCTTTCCAAGTGGTCTCCACTTGGAAAGGTTCAACCTATCCAGATATGTCTACTGATAACAACTATCCAAATGCACTATTGATCAAAGCACTGCTCACAGTACAATACTACCATTACACTTGCACTCAATTACCTCTATACTTTCTACATGTTATTTATGAAGGGCAGAAGCCATTTTATAATTTGAATTAACAAAGTTGGAATATATGTTTATTAATTTTCTATCTGGAACTTGCTCCCCATCCCTTCTTATCCAGAATTATGAGAATTTTTCTAAGGGGGAGCCCCATCGACTCCCTGAAGCTATTCAAACTGACATGTGCCATATTAGTTTGGTCTCATCAGTCCCTGGAGTTGTGTGTGCCTACTGGAGACCAGAGCCACAACTTGAGGGAGCAATGTTTGGGTACTACATTTAGAGTATGTCATTTCTGCCATCAACCAGATATAGCACCCAGAAAGGTAGGCAAACCAATACAAACCCTCCACCTGTGAAAATTGCAACCTACGTCCGAACAGAGCCAAAGAACTCCCTCTAAAAGCAAACAAGCAAATCGACATCCAACTAACGTGGCTGCTCACCCTTCCTTTTTCTATCTCCTCCATTGTTCTGCTGCCCGTATCTTTGTGAGGAAATGGTACACGGTTTGTTTCGTTTATCTTCCCCTCCCGAGTGTCCCGCTTTCTCTTCCTGATCTTAAACACCTACTGGACTCCTTGTCAGAGCCTGTGCTCCTGCTAGGTGATTTCAATTGTCGTTATACCTTTTGGGGTGATGTTCTGACGAACACCCGGGGTCACCTTCTTGAACCATTCATCCTCTCTTCTTCCCTGTCTCTTCTGAATTCTGGTGAGCACTCATTTGGACTCTCGGACTCGCACCCTTTCCTGTCTTGATCTTTCTCTCTTCTCGTTGTCTCTTTACTTGGATTTCATGTGGCGAGTTCTTGATGACCTCCATGGCAGTGACCATTTCCCCATCCTTGTTAGCTTTTTCTCTTTTCACCCTCCCCTCTCTTTCCCTAGGTGGCAGTTTGCTAAGGCAGACTGGAACCTATTTACCCTCAGTGCTACTCTCTTTGACCTCTCCCTCGCTCTCTCCTCCTTTTTCATGACACCATCTTCGACGCTGCCCTCCGTTCTATTCCTCGCTCTTTCTCTCGGGGTCCACAGAAGCACGTTCCCTGGTGGAATGCTGAATGTGCTCGGGCTGTCCGCTGTAAGCGTGCAGCCTGGAAGAGACACCACCGCCGGCAGACGGCCGATTCTTTTCTTTTGTTTCGGAAGGCGAGTGCGGTGGCCCGTAGGGCCATCCGTACGGTTAAACGTGAGTGTTGGATGACCTATGTCTCCACCATTACGTCCGAAACTCCTGTGCTGCAGATTTGGAAGTGTACCACAAACAGTATTGTGGGAGTAGGAAAGTTAGCGATTTAGGTGTAGAAGGGCTGGTTGGGTGTGGCAGCCACTCTTGTTGTTTTGGGCTCACCATACCAACTTAGTGGTTTTTTATGGTGAACACACATGTAGATAGGTATATACAATGTGTGTATATAGTGTAATAACAGCAAAAACATTGTTTGATTGATCATGGAATATAATGTCACATATATGAACCTCATAATTTTGAGCATAGCGATGTTCTACACATTAAACTATATAAATTTCACAAATTACACAGTGAATAATATTACAACAAAAAACCGAGAAGAAACAAATGAGAAACATCAAAATAATCGTGAAACATTACATTTGTGGCAACTGCCGCACCCACAGGGTGGCATGGCCTAGTGACCTTGAGCCCCCATTACTCAGCGCCCATTATTTACTCAATTTCCTAGCTCCATCGTGGCTAAAGTATGTCACATACAATATTTTTTGTTTGTTTTTTGTTGTTGAACCTTCACCTCAGGACTCTGGGCCGAGTCATCTCCCAAAGCCCCGGACTCGAAGGAAAAGGCCGGTGCAGCCGCAAAACCCGGGCGGAAGGGGGCCCACTGGTCAGACCCAGAGGCTTAGGCAGGGACAACCGACTCGAATGCCTCCGTTGCCACACCGGAAGGGGCATCCCCCGAGACTGCCTGAGTCTCGAGACCATCTAAACCCTGCCCCAACTCCGAAACCCTCAGACGTTTTGGGGCCGGAAGCAGGGGGGAAAGCAGGAGCAGCTTCTAATAGCTGAACCTCCAGGACATGTGCACTCACGGGGACCAAGCAAAGGGTACCACCCAACTGTAAGAGCACTCAGTGCACAGGGGCAATAACCATGGCAGATCCCCCCACCAGGTAAACAAAACAAAAAAGAAAAGAAAACTCCACAAGAGGACAGCGTACCTAGGCGGAGAAGAACAGGTTGCTATGAATGGTGAAAACAAGCTGCACAGTACCCTGCACCCCTTACCAGTGCAAACTGCCTCATACCCTAAAGCAAACTAAGGGAGCCAGAACTCCCTTGCACACAAAGAGCGGCCAAAAACCGAGCAGCCAACGGCCAATTACAGGTAGGCCCCAAGGAACTTGTGGAAGGTCTCCCCAAGCCCCAAGGGCAGTACTTACTGGGCACCTAGGGAAGGGAACCCTAGGCGCAAGCATCCCGAGTACTGAAGAATCGCTCCCGGCTTGCACACCACCTAGAAGACAGCCAACACACGCAAGGCACAGAGCTGAAACAACGTCTGGAGCTAGAGCACACGACCTCTGCCTATAGCATCAGCCTCAAAACTGAGGTGTGGATTGTTGGCACGGGGGTCTGGGGCTCCCCTTTTTCCCTCCTGGGGAGGGGAGAGCTGTGCAGACAGCGGCGCGGCGACATGTGACGTCATGCACGTTTGCTCGTTTCTGTTTGGGGGAGTTCTATCTATTTGTTCGGCTTTTTGTAGCATTTTCACCAGAAAAGGGGTTTGTTTTGGGACGCTTACCTTTCTGGGTTCCTGACCCGGTCCATAGCAGACATGCAATGCTTCCAACCACATGGGGGTTTCTATAGGCCATTGCTCCTCATGCTTCTCTAAGGGGACCAGGTTCTGGCTCGTGGTCCTCGGTAGGGCCACAGAACTCCACACACATGACTGACGCCAAAGTCTGACATTAGCATATCAGCCTGTATAGCTCCGGGAGTGAGGGAGGACTGGCTGGGTGTGGCAGCTTACATTTGCAGAGTTCTGAGTGTGTTGATGGTGAATGTATATAGTGTGTATATATGTTGTAACTATACATAAATGAACATGAAACATTGGTGTGAATAACGTATGGTGGGAGGAGGGGTGTGTTCCGAGTTCCGAGTGTGTTTATGGTGTGTGTATATAGTGTGTGATACTCTACAGTGTGTAAATAGAGTCTATATATACATAAATTAGCACGACACATTGGAAATATGTACCGGATATGTGTACACTTGTGTCATGCACGTAACACAGTGTCTTTGGACAGTACAGATGTTCTACTGCCATAATATAGTGTATGTGTTCATTATACATAGAATTGGCACGTAAAAAACAAACAAATTGTATTTGGAACTGTGCGCAAAAAATGAACAAAAATATATTCGTGGCAACTAGTGCATCTTGAGCCGCGCGCCCTACTGGCCCCGGGAATCGTAAGCCACAGTCGACCAGGGAATGATGACGTCACACGCGAACGTACAGACCCCATAGCAACCAACGTAAGTACAATTTTGACCTTTTGTTACCATATCCATACTCGGGGAAGGGTTTTTGACACTTTCAAAACAAAAAATAATTTTTTCCAGAGAATTTATTTCCTGCGCACTGGGGGAGGGGGGAGGGGTTCCGTATTTGGAAGCCGAGCAGCTCAGTGGTTAAAGGTTATGCCCCTAACCTCTCCTCTTCACGCTTGTCCTTCAGTTCTGGTATCTATTTAGTTGCATGTCTTTGCACCTTTTCCAGTTTCTTGATGTACTTCTTTAGATATGGGCACCATACAACCATGCAAACTCCATCTGGGCCAACTGCTTTGTTCTTACTTAGCTCCTTGAGTATTTTTCCACTTTGTTTAGACACCTATGTGCTCTATGTTGTTCTCTGGAATTCTTATTGTGTCTGGTTCTCTGAAAAATTCATTTTGCACAAACACACCAGCAGATGGTGCTGAAATACTGTGCATAAAACTCAGGAAACATCTACTTTAATCTGCTACTTCCACCGGCGGATGGCACAACCAGTTTTCCACGGAGTGATAGCACAGATCGTTCCCTACTCTTTGCCCAATTCACACTGAATTTCTTTAAGTTTCTCAAAACTTGCTATGAAACATTGCCCGTATGGCACCTAACCATGCACCACAGCATCCAAGGACCAGTAACAAGGCCTAGCCCTATTGCTGGGTGTGGCCGGAGACAGAGGGTCACCAAGTTCTCATGGGAACACATGGTGCCTGGACCTTTGTCTCCACTTGGGGCAACAGGCTTCAACTGCACCAGACAGGGAAGGACCTCTCAACTAACCAGGCAAGCTGTTCGAGTTGGCCCACCAATATATGGCTCTCCATCCTGCCTGTTGTAAACAAAAAAACTGGGAGCTGAGGGAACAAGGATGAGGAAGGAAGAGAAGAGAGGATAATTAAGGAAAGAAAAAAAAAGGAGGAATTTCCTTGGCTGTTACAGTGTGTATAACCTTTTACCTGAATTTCTGTCCAGATTAAAAAGTTGAGAACTTTTTCAGATTACTGAGCTCCAACAGTACTCGTATATTCTCATTGTACTTTTGTTTGTTTTTTTACTCACAGGTTTTGCATGCAGTTTTCCGAGCAGCCAAATATGTCTGAACCCAACCCAGAGCTTGTAGCCCCTAATAAATCATTAGGCAGTGGTGGTGGTGGTGGTGGTGGTGGAGACTCTGGGAGTGGTGGCACACGAGGCCCAGGGTCACAAGGAGGCCCTGGAAGCAACAGTGGAGTACCGCTGACAGAATCAGTCCGAGATCCTAGATTGCAGAAGCCCAATACAAATGGAGGAAACCTGGATCCTCGGGGAATTAAAGGAGGAGGTGGCGGTGGCGGCAGCAGCAACAACAATAACAGTGTAACAGCTTCCAACGGTCACCAAAGTACTGGAGGAAGACACGGAGGAGGCAACTCAAATAGCTCCACAAATTCAAGTAAAAACCGTAACCATGCGCCAACAAATAGACAAAGTACCAAAAGGTAATACTGTACTGTATATCCATTTGTGATATGGGAGTGTTAGTATTGTTAGTATGGAAGGAGATGAAAGCCCTTTTGTAAGTTATCATGAACGTATCTTACATTTTTTGTATCTGTTAAAAGCTTTTGGTTATGAAAATATAAAATTTATAGGTGGGTATTCTTTTTATAAAAGGAATCAACTTTCCAATTTAATTATAGCAATTCATTTGTCATAAGAAGGTACTGTATATGAAACTTTTTGTTATACTAATTTATAGAATATGAATTGAAAAAATGTTCCATCAAAGTTTACCATTGTCACTTCATATATAATATTACTTTAAATTACTAACTGCAATAAAGCAGAATGTATGATCGTCACAGAGTTGGAAATTTTAAATCTATGCAAATGTAATTTGTTAGCTCAGCATTTCCATCAAATCTTGTTGAAAATACAGTACAGTAATAGAAATTTCTTGACGGAGCTTTCGTTATACATATACAGTATATGTTATGTTACAAAATATTTGTCATTTATATTACTGGAAGACTTGGAGAGCCATAAATTATAAACTTTATGCATTTAATAAATCATATGTTAAAATCCTACTATATTTGCACAAGTATAAGTAATTATCAAAAGAAAGCGCTGAACTATTTGCACAAATATAAACTGTGCATTTTTGAGCCCCCTCCTTCCCTCTCCCCAAAAGGAAAAATTGGGGATGTGGCTTACAATAGACAACAAAGCTCAAAAAGTGATTTAAATGGAAATACAGATTTCACTGTCGATTTTTGAGTCTCTGTGAAATCTCCAAATATTGCCCTTGCCTCTGTGTGAAGGCCATTAATAAAAGGTACATTGCTGTTTGGCTTTGTTTTTGATGATGCCCTGCTCTATTTTGACCCATTTGGTCTTACACCTTGAGGTGATGTCCCAATTTTCAAGAGCACAAGTCTTGTTTTCCTGGTGTCTCCTCTATGAAAACCATGGCAATTCAGATACCCTTTGAAGTCATTTGCCTCTGGACCTATTTTTTTCAATATTGGTATCTTTAACAAATTTATTGTTAGTGCCCTTTAAATATCCAGTGACAGTGTCTTCCCATGATTGTGCCTTCTTTTCAATAATTATGTCTCCTACCACCATAATAGTTGGGAAACAACTTTGGTTAGGATATGTATTAATCAGTCTTAACTTTGGGCACTTTGTGAAACAGACCACCTTATTATCACATTAGTGATGTGGGACACTGTCCCAATTTTCATGACCAGTTATCTTTCATTCCTAATGCCAATCACTAGTCCCTTTATACCCCCCCCCCTCCCTTTTCTGCCTGTTGTCATCGTGAGGGGGCTTGGTGGGTGGCTGCCTGGGTGTGATGCTCCATGGGACAGTCCTTTTGGAGGCTTCTGCTCCTGCTGCCGTCTTCACAAATTGTGCTGGATGTCTTTTCCTCTTTTTTTATGTTTCATTTTCCTCCCCCCACCCCCCTCTCCTCTGTGATTGTCATTTCCCACCAACTTTTTACCATTCTTGATTATTCTTTCAGACATCATCATCTGTTTTGATACCCAAGTGTTTGGGGAGGCGCACGCTCTCACCCGTAAAACTATGGTACCTGATGTTTTGAGCGAGGGGACGCTTTTATTGTCTATCCTTGCCTTCGTTGCTGAACCCAATCTCGACAGACTGACGGTTCTTGAGGTGGCAATTGCGGGGCGTATGCTCACTATGCACCCCTGGGGAGGCCCCATCTTGTCGGGTGTCCTATCCTCTAATTGTGGCTCATGGTGGATATTATTTGTGGATGAAATTATTACCTGCTGATATATGCCGATGACTGACTCTCTTTTTAACTCCCCAGACTTGTAGGGTGGGTGACCAGGCCCCAGAGTCGAACTGTGATGGAAGGCCAGGCTCTATAGCCCCCACTACATTGGGCCCAGACCAAGCTACTTCCCTGTCCCTCCCAACTACCCCTCTCCGCTTCCCTCGCATCTCTGTGGCGGGGTCGAGCCCCAAGCTCATAGTGGTGAGGACCTCATCTCTTGGAATGGCTCCTTGTCTCATTGTGACAACTGCACCTTTTACCCCCCCATCTTACTAGAGGTGCTCGGCGCCGTTCCCTTCGCAGATGCACCACACGATTCCTTCCAGTTCTTTTACATTCCAAGCCATATTTGGTCCTGCTATATGGCCTAAGTACTTTGATCTTAACCATCTGGATTCTACATGTCCTGACGATTTTTTCCTCCATAAACACCTCGCTGATTCAGTGGATACCTTTGTTAATTTTAACCCCACCCATACTGGTACATGTGTCATTGCTGCTGCTCCTCAGGAAGCTGCCCCCCTTTAGCCTTGTTGTCCAGCATTGGGAAGACCCCTGTTAGGATCTCCAAAAATGACCAATTAAATGCTAGTATTGGCACAGTTATTCTACTGCACCATGTTGCAACTAGTTTTAGGGAGCTGAAAGACTGCCATGAGGATATTCAACATATCCCTGAAGCCCAATGCCATTCTATCCTCCAGGTTGATACATTCATTGTGGTCATTGTTGTCAACCTCTTCGAGCTGTGAAGATCACTTTTGATAGTAGATCCCGTCTGCCTTCTATACTCTGTACTCCAGGTCCATTCAGGAGTACATTCCCCCCTCCTAGACTCTGCAATAGGTGCTGGAAATTTGGGCATGGTCCCCTCAAATGCACAAGTGCAGTGTGTCTATGCCCCTTGTGTGGGGACTCGGGCCACTGTAAGACAGAGTGCTCTTCTTCCCAAGCTCACTGCATCAATTGCGGTGATGACCACCCTACCTTCTCCCACGCGTGTATGCACTACAAATTTGAGGATGCCATCCTCAATTTGAAACACTGCGATCCTTTGTCTTTTCATGAGGCGAGACGCCAAGTACGCTGTCTGCCCTCTTTTGCTTTCATGTCGTATGCTCGTGTTGCATCCCGCCTCTCCTTGCCCTCCCCTCCTTACTCTCACGTTTCCATGCCTTGGACCCGAACACCCCTACCACCACCTCGCCTGCCGTTTACGTTCTGAACAAGAAGGTCTTCCTCCTCGTTCTCTGTCTGGTGTTTCCTTTCCAGTCTACCCATCTCCTGTGTCCTCTTTCCCTTCTCCCCCGATTCTTCTTCCCAGCTCTACCCTCTGTCTTTTGGCCCTCCAAGCTGTTGTCCATCCTCCTCCCAGCAATCTTCATGTTGATCACTCCCGTTCTCCTTCTCCTGTTGAGGTTATGGAGGCTGTTGCCCAGTACATTGTTACTGGCACACCTGTCTCTTCAAGTCAGAAATGTAAGCCTGGCTCCTCTTTGTCTCTGGCAGATAAGAAGGCATCGCTTTCTTCCCCACCTTCCAACTCCGACTTTATCCCTGCATCCCCTACCATTTTGGTGGTTGAGGTTCTCTCGGGTGCTGCCCTTGATTAGATGCGCTACTATGCTTCTGTCCCCCCCCCTCCCCCTGATTCCCTTGACCGTCCCTCTCTAATGCCGCTTCCCGCTCCCTTGACTCCATCATCCTTGCTAAATTTACCTATAATTTACCAAAGATTTACCTAACCTCCATTTCACTGATCTTGATCTTACTTAATATACTGTGCTCGTCTTTGCTTTTGTTTCTGTTCTCTCTATTTTTCAATGGAACATTTGTGGATTTTATGCCAACTTCTGATAACACATTTTTTTCACGGCTTTGTGTGTGTATCTCCAGGAGCCAATGCTCTGTGCTTGTCCTGGTCACTTCCGTGGTTATTCCTTTCTCTCCCCACCTCCAGCTTTTGCTGGGGGCCCATAACTCTTCTGCTCTCTTGACTCATACTGATATTTCCTTCGTTCCCCACTTTTTCAGTTGCCCATCCAATACTCTGCAGCTCGTATCTTTGAGTAAATGGACTCTGTTAAGACTCCTTTCAAGAGCCTGTGCACCTGTTGGGAGATTTCAACTGTCGGCATACCCTCTGGGGTGATGCGCTGACAAATACCTGGGGCCATCTTCTCAAACCATTTGTCCTCTCTTCTGAATTCTGGTGAACCCACTCGTGGACTCATGCACTCACACCCACTACTGTCTTGATCTTTCTCCATGCTTGTCTTCTCTTTCCTTAGATTTCACATGGTAGGTTCTTGATGACCTCCATAACAGTGACCATTTCCCCATCCTTGTTACATTTTTCTCTTTTCACTCTCCCTTCCTTCCCTAGGTGGCAATTTCCCACAGCTGACTGGAACCTCTTCACCCTCCATGCTACTCTGCTCTTCCTCTCCCGGGAGCTATCCCTCGAGGCATTTAAAATCGCGCGTTAGACCCTCAATCGTATATGTACGTATTGCGCGGTTTCGGGAAAGTTACTCCCATTGTATGTATGTATTGTGTGGTTTAAGGCCCGGAGCAGATTAAGGATTCACACTTTCAAAGACTTTGGCGACGTCCGACAGGGCCGTCCCTGCCAAGGACAACAAGAATGTCCAAAAATAAAATATTTATTAAAACCATTTTTCCGATCATTATGGGGCCAGTTTTAAAATGTGAGCCTTTATACAGTATTGCAAACCATTTGATACTAGAATGAATGATGTAACATGACTTCTAGGACGAGCGTGTCTCTTGCTTTCCGACCGTCCCTCGTGGTCACTTGTCCCTCAATAGAATTCTTGGTGAATTGGATACTTTTGATATCGTTCACCTTATGCGTTTGTCCTTGTATTGGAATCCTTGGTGATATTTAGCACTGATTATTCTGCACATTTGATGGTGTTACATAGCCTTCCCGGTTTGGTGCCTTCATTTGATAATTACACAGCCTTCCTGGAATGGCACCTTTTAATAATCACTTTCAATGCTTAATAACTGGTTCTATATAACTTCCCAGGTTTAGTGATTTCTCTTAAAATTGCTTTATAATACGTATTTCAGATTTGGGTTAGAGGAAACGTCTGCAATGTTTGTATTTTATTTACACTGGAATGACTTATCTTGGCAAGTTATGACACGCACAAAGAAGGGTCATAGTTAATCTTGGTAATGCTTTTAATTAAGTGGCAAATATTTAAAACTTCAGCAGCTAAATGCAAGTTTGATTGGTTCAAAATATAAATAGCTTATACTTTAAAAAATGGACCAAATTCCTAGATACAATTTAAATAAAAATTTTAACAGCAATTTCAATGCAAAGAAAAACCTTGTATGGTAGCATACCTACATTAACTATGTTCAGACCCATGTCACAACAGCATTTAAAGACGTGTGTTCTGAAAGCAATTTGCATGAAATTAATATGTTTTGGTAATTGTTTAAGGGGGAGACCCCTTATTAGATATAAAAATTGCATTTTTCTATATAAAAACTTAGCATGCACACTGAATACCAGTCATCCCATCAGGTCCAAAAGGTTAGAAAGTATATTTACCATCACTGTGGCTCTACTATTAAATAATTCAAAAATTAAAACGGAGCCAAATTCAATTTACAGAATTACGAGTAGTTAACTATGTTCAGACAATTCTTTGAATTGTCTAAATTTATCTAAAGTATCAATATTATTGTAGTTCCTCTTCAGCTGCACTACTCCAGAGATAAATGGTCTTAGGCAGACATCTTCTTTGCTAGATCTTCACGAATTGCTTCAAGGAAGTCGTTTGTATACAAGTACATTCCATCCTTTACATTCTTTATACCATGAATGCAACCAGCAAGATCCTTTGTCATGTGACCAGCATTAATTGTATCAACACAGGCCTTCTCCAATAACTGAGCATACCTGAAAATAAACAACACACATTATCACTAGAGCAAATATGTTAAGAGAACAACCCTAGGTCTATTTTAGGGACAATGACAGGGCAAAATTGTAAAGTTAGCCAATGTTTCCAAATTTTACATATATTACTGACGAGATTAGATCATTCACTTCTAAGGGGGGCCTCGTAGCCTGGTGGATAACATGCAGGACTCGTAATTCTGTGGCGCGGGTTCGATTCCCGCACGAGGCAGAAATAAATGGGCAAAGTTTCTTTCACCCTGAATGCCCCTGTTACCTAGCAGTATATAGGTACCTGGGAGTTAGTCAGCTGTCACGGGCTGCTTCCTGGGGGTGGAGGCCTGGTCGAGGACCGGGCCGCGGGGACACTAAAGCCCCGAAATCATCTCAAGATGACCTCAAAACGCCTTGTGCACATAGTTTATACATATAAAAAGAAGGGGAGCATGATTTAGCACTTTATGCAAATCTGCCCCCACTCCACTAGCCATTTGCACATCTTGTGCTAATTATTCTTAAATATTGAGAGAATGAAAGCTTTAAAAGTTATGGATGGAATTCAACCTTTTCCTTCAATGCATTCCACTTGCTGACCATGCATGTATGAAATGAACTTCCTTACACCTCTGCCAGTGTCCAGCTTCCACCTATATCCTCATCCTACCATCATTAAATTCAAATATACATACATTTGTCAAATGTGTGTTCTCCTCATTATCTTATAACCTTAGAGGATATAATCACACAAGGGTGAATTCCCTCTGTCCTCATAGCCTAGCTCTCAATTTTGGTACTAACCTAGTTGCAATCCTCTCAACTTTAAGTATAAGGAACATGTCCCCCTCCTCTACTTTCACTCCTTGCTTTGTCAAGCCCCAATCTATTTTTTTTGTCATTATTTCATTTTACAATTTAATTTTGAATGAAAGTTGAGACACGGTGAAGGATGGACTACACAAGTATACTTTAAACTGGTACCTAAACCTCATTCAGCAATGACTGAAGACTAACTCTACCAGGAATAAATAATTTATCCAAGTTATCCTAAGGTTAGTATTCAACTTATTACCTTACAAATATACCTGAAAATTATAGCCTATTTATTTCATCACTAACATTTGATGCTGAACAGAAATGTTTCATTTTAGTAATGAATGGCCTTTGCTAATCCAGTTGAAAGATACAATTTTTAAATTGATATTTAACTGTTTGTAAAGAAAAAAAAATACAGGTGAGGGAGTTGGGTTATTAGCAATATTAACTTTTCTAGAATAAATGGCTATATATACTATACAGAAATGGTACTAATCACACCTTTTATAAAGTGCATACTAGTGTATACCTGGCCAGCTCTGGAGTTCCATCCAACTTGGCACGGTGCTCAAGACCTCGAGTCCAGGCAAAGATTGAGGCTACAGGGTTTGTAGAGGTTTTGTTGCCCTTCTGGTGCTCTCTGTAATGTCTTGTCACTGTACCATGGGCAGCCTCCGATTCTATTGTCTTGCCATCCGGACACATCAAGACTGATGTCATCAGACCAAGTGAACCTGTTGTGCAAGATTTATTGCCCATTAAGTTTTCACCATTTAATAGCTATACTGTACTCACCTAGTTGTGGTTGCAGGGGTTGAGCTTTGGCCCTTTGGTCCCGCCTCTCAACCGTCAATCAAGTGATGTACAGATTCACGAGCCTACTGGGCTGTCACATCTACATTTGAAACTGTGTATGGAGTCAGCCTCCTTACACTGTACTTGGTATCCATTACCTATACTATCAAATAACATGTCGTAAACTAGAGAGTATACATGCTTAACTTACCATAGCCTTGAGCAACCACATCCGACTGGACATCACCATCGTAGTTCTTGCAGGACCATACAAAGCCCCCAGAGGACTTTAGAGCCTGGGCTACCATATCATCAATGAGCCGATGCTCATACCAAATACCTTTGGCATCAAATTGTTTCTGAAAGGTTTCGTACATTAGTAAATTTATTCCCTTTCCATATTTGCATAAAATAGGTAGTAGTTTTCAGGTTAAATGCTTGCTTACTGCAGAAATGCAATTATAAAATATCTATGAAATACCAATAATTGTATATAAAAGTGTAGGTTTTAATACAGTACAGTGCATCCTGACAAACCCCGTTCTAATTAATTCCTGGATGATCCAAACAAATTATTTTCAGTACAAATTCAGTGGAACATACAAATGTTTGATTAGGCAAGGACTGTTCATCCAAACTATTGCCGAGTACAAGCATCAGGATGCAGCTTGTTATCAGGCATGAACAGCCTAATCAAACTAATCAACTGTACTGTGCTTAAACAGTTTTAATCAGACAAATAATATTTTACATATTATAATAAAATATTAATAAGTAAATATACATGGTACAGAAAAATTAATATCAACCCACCATGTATTAATAATTTTCCATCATCCAAATGAATTTTAGTTTAATTATTAAAATATGCAAAAACTTTACCGTCAATATGACAAACTATTATCCCTACACCCACCAACACACTTGCTTACTGTAATTACCCAAGAGTAGTTACAGCTTGAGAGCTACACTTGTGGCATCCTGTCTTCCCAGTACTTTATCATATAATGCTTTGAAACTACTGATTGTTTTGGCCTCCACCTCACTTATCTTGTTCCAACCGTCTACCACACTGTTTGCAAAAGAAAAACAACACTTTTTCGGCATCATTGTTTTCTTTGCTTGAACCTGTGTCCTTTAGTAAATTTATTTCCTTTCCATATATGCATAGTATGGGTAGTATAAACCCATACTATGGGTTTATACTACCGTCATCCTGTCCGGAAAATGGAAACTGTAGTGAGTGAACTAGTGCTGGTGAGGGAGCAATGTGGAGCTCTGAGAGCAGAGGTGGATTCCCTGTAGGAGGAGCTAAGATTGATAAAGGAGCCAAGACAGACGAAACATCGTCAAGAAGTAACAAATGAGGAGCGCAGCAGTAGAAAGTCATTGACATGGAATGTCGTAAAGGATAGGAGTCTTAAGAAGACTTTGACAAGGCCACCTACAGATATCATAAGGACTTCAGCATAGTGAATGGGTTGGGAGGACGAATGCTGTGTGGAGGCTGTAGTTCCCGCGAAAGTCAACGAAAGGAGCGCAGGTCCCTCAAGGTGCTCACAAAATAAAGGAAATGCCTAAACAAATTTTGGTTGCTGGAGATTCACAAGTGAGGTATCTGGATAGAACTTTTTGTGCCAGATAGGGAAAAAACGGGTGAACGGTTTGCTATCTGGGAACACGAATGGGCGATATTGTTAACATGGCCGATATTATGGCTGGAAATGGGAACAAACTCATTAATTTTATCAATGCCGGTGGAAATGATGTTGGACAAATTAGGGGTGAGGAACTGATACAGAGGTTTAAGACAGCCATAGAATTAGGAGTAAGGGAGGAATCCCGATCACATGTGGCATTCTTCCAAGAAAGGGAGTTGGAAATGAATAGTTGTCGAGGGCACTTGGTGTCATTTGCCGACTAGACAAATATTGTAAATCAAATGCACTATCACTTATAGATAACTGGGAACACTTCTATGGAAGAAATGACATGTATGCTCGGGATGGGGTGCATCTATCCAATGCTGGAGTAGTAGTTGTTGCTAACTTGTTGGATCCTGTGGTGGGAGGGATTTGTTTGGGTTTAAACTATTAGTAGATAGTCGTATGGGAATTGGTATGGAGAAAGGAGGTGATAAAAGATCGTGTTTGCGGGAGAAACAAAGCCTGGCACAAACATGAAACATTTCACACAGATATATGGCTATTTCCCCCTCCTCATCTAATATGTTAGGGAAAATTTGAAATGACTCAAAGAGGGAATCAAAACTTGGTCACACACACAAACTATTTGGGTAGAATTAAACAAAAAAGCAAATAATCTTATATTAGGAGCTGTATATAGGCCATCATATTTAGACAATGGAAGCAAAGCATCTATGGGATGAAATATCTAGAGCATCTAGGTCTAACAGTATTTGTGTCATGGGTGACTTTAATTTTAGTGGAATAAACTGGATTAACAGAACAGGGAATAACGAAGCAGAAGATTTTCTAGAATTAATTGACGATAGCTTTCTTACTCAACATATTAAGGAACCAACACGGGAAAATAATGTTTTAGATTTAGTGTTAACTAACAAGGAAACACAGATTAATGACATCGAAATAGGGAGTGAACTAGGGAACAGTGATCACAAAGAAATCAGATTTACCATGGAATGGAATAGACCTGCAGGAGAAAATTCTGTTAGTGCCAGATTTTTTAAAAGCTAATTTTAATATCCTAAGAAATTTTTTGGGTCAAATACATTGGAAAGTCTTGGGCATAGGGGTGGGCCAGTCTTGGAGCAAGACGTGAACCCAGCGATGAGTGATGAAAAAGGGAATTTCAATGTGATTCAAAATATAACTTATTTAAATAACATTCTAAACAAAGCACAGGAACGTAGTATACCTTACAAATTGAATAGATCGAATACTAATGACCCGAAATGGATAACAAAGAATCTGAAAAACCTTATAGGTAGAAAGAGCTTGGTACAAAAAGATTAGGAATGGGGAAGTCAGTTTAGAACAAGAATTTGTACAACTGGTTAGAAATGTTAAAAAAAAAAAAAGAGAGAGATGAGGAGGCAAAAAGAAACTGTGAAGTTTGTATAGCAGGCCAAGCAAGGCAAATCCTAAAGGGATTTTTCAGTTATATCGAACAAAGGTTAGGGAGAGGATAGGCCCATTAAAAACTGAGACAGGTCAGATAACCGATAATGACGAAGAGATGAGTAGTATTTTTAATAAATATTTTATCTGTATTTACTAAAGAAAAACTTTACTCTATGCCTTCAGCTGAACAAGTCTATGTGGGTGGGGACAAGGACAAGTTGACTAGTCTAACAATTACCAGGGATGATAAATGTTAAACAAGTAGTAAAACTCAAACCAAACAAATCCCCAGGGCCAGATGAAGTGTTTGCCAGGGTGCTTAAAGAATGAAAAGGGGAGCTTTGTGATCCAATGTCTACCATATTTAATAATTTGTTAAAGAGTCAGGCATCAACCAATCAACCAGGCAGAGTGCTCGAGTCGTGGAAGGTTGCTAATGTGGTACCAATTTTTAAGAAAGGAGATAGGTCACTTGCGTCAAACTATCGGCCAATTAGCCTAACATCTATTGTGGGAAAGTTACTTGAATCGATAATTACAAATACCATTCATCTTCATCTTGAAAAACAAATTAATAAATGATTCACAACATGGTTTTACAAATGGACGTTCATGTTTAACAAATTTGCTATCATTTTATTCCAGCATAGTTGAGGCAGTTGATAGTGGTAAGGTTTGTGATGTGTACCTGGACTTTAGCAAAGCTTTGATACAATGCCACATAAAAGACTGATTAAAAAGATAGAGGCTCATGGTATTGGGGGTGCTATATTAAGTTGGATTAGGGCATGGCCATACCAAAGGAAACAGTATAAATAAGGTTGTCAGACTGGGAAAATGTTGTAAGTGGAGTGCCTCAAGGCTCTGTCCTGGGACTTCTGTTATTCATAATATATATAAATGATTTAGATTTAGATTTGAGCAGCAACATTTGCCAATTTGCCAATGATACAAAAATCGGGAGGGAAATAAACATGGAAAAAGACTCACTATCACTTCAAGGCGATGTGTGCAACAAATCTACTTAGTTTTTATGATAGAGCCAGATATACTACAGGAGTGATGGTTAGGTTGACTGTATCTGGACCTAATAAAGTCCCACACACAAGAGGCTTTTCTGGAAACTGGAACATCCTGGAGTGGTGACAGGGAGACTTCTGACATGGATGAAAAAATTTATAACAGACAGATGAGGGCAGTAATCAGAGACAATGTATCTGACTGGAGGAGTGTTACTAGCCGAATACTACAAGGTTCAGTTCTTGTTTTGGAGGCCAAAACCATCACTAGTTTCAAAGTATTATATGATAGTGTGCTAGGAAGACAGGACATCCTGTAACTACACCAAGGTAATTACACACACACTAGTATTACAGATGGATTTGTACTTGCCTAAATGTGCTTCAGGGTTATTTTTGAAGATATTGCAGTATGCTACTCTCCTGGTAAGCTGTTGTAAACCTTTATATGCATTTTAATAGATGTGGACCCTCTGATTTTTTTTTTTGCTGCATTAGAGGGTGTTGCTTAGGGACTGACAGATTGAATAAAGTCCCTTATTGACTGAATTGGCCTCGCCCCATATAATTTGTTCAAGTGAGGATACACTGTACTAATGTACGAACTGATCATGATTTTACAACATATTTCATTCCATGATCAAGCATGAATAAAATGACAAAAATGGATGTAAATTACAATTGTACCTTGTACTCTGCTTGGTAAATTTCTTCAAAAATATCCTTAAAACGCCCATCATACCGCTTAAGGATTGTATTCTTTGTGGACAAGTAGAGTGGCCAGCCCTTTGACAGTGCAACCTGCAAACAAGATGTAACGATAATTTGTGAAAAATTTACGAGATTATGAAGCTTCACACGATTTAGTCAAGTAATATTCTAACATGGATAAATAACATGGATCAGTAATGTAATAACTATTACAAAATTAAATAATTGTTATATTTTACAATATAATTTTTTTTACATACTTGGAAGGAAGAGTGTGCAAAAGAACGAATTGATTCATCGGTGTTGTACATGGCCATGGAAACACCACCTCCATTCTTGAAGTCAAACACCTTCATTCTCTGAGGCTGGCCACCTTCTGGAGTATACACCAACTCCACCTACCAATATATTAGGAATTAAACATGCAATTGTGGAACTGTACTTTTAGCACATTACAAACTATTTTTAACATATCGTTATAATTAGTGATTATATCAATAGACATTAACACTTTACCTGCATGTCACATCTAGGAATGTTATTACCATTAATCCCTCAAACGTATGTCACATCTAGATCTGTATTAAAGTACCATTCCACACAAGATTTAAAATTCCTATGGGTACAAATCTACTTCCTTAAACCTCCAGTACACAGATGCCATCTTGACTGCCATGCAGCTCGTGTGTACAGCATCACTTAAAAGATGAAATAAATAACTGCAATTATTTATCAGTGATAGAGGACCTTGACATTTATAAAGACCATGTACAAGATTGGATATTAGTGAACCTGATGCAGGTGAATGTTCACGGTGCAAGGCACACAGCCATAGCTCACACAGGTAGTTGGGTGCATCTAAGCATCATTAGTGACCAGGCATCTGATAATAATAGCAGTGTTTTCTCTAGTGTTATCAATGTGCATAGTAATCTAACCCGTCCTCAGAATAAGTCCATTCCACCCAGCGGTCTATCCCAAAGATGCATTCATCAATTTTAACATGCTGTTCATTTAAAATAGGAATTTTCTCAAATATAATTAATATTTTATATTAGCATATAAAATTATGCATATTTTAGCATTGGTTAGGTTAGGTGCTTAGGTTCTGTTGGCATTTATTTGTAGTACCTGGGTGAAGCATTTACAGCGTTGTAGTTTGAACAAAAGTCGTCAGTGAAGCACTTATTATGGTCATCAGTTGCAAGTTGCGTGTACACCGTACACAATTGTATACAGTGTCCTAACATCAAAAATAATATGCTGTATTGTCCAAATAATATAATACTGTGCACATATTAGTGATACTAATATATTTGTGCATGTTGTCATTCTACAAGTTCTGTGATATAAAGTATCATTGCACTTGAAAAACCATTGTAAAAACATTAAAAATACAAAGAAAATATATTCAACGAGTGCATTTGTTAAACCTGTTTAGTGGTTCATAACGGTGCATAAAAAACCAGCCTTGAATGTATATAAAGGCCCTTTTCTGGATGAGCACTGGAGGCTTCCTAAAGCTATCTGAACTGATGTGCTTTATTAGTTTGGGGTCATCAGTCACAGGAGTCTTTTTGCCTACCGGAGGCCATGAGCCAGAACCTGCCCTCCCCCCCCCCCCATCCCTCGGAGGCACAGGGAGCAATGGCCTATGAGCACTTTACAAGTTAAGCATGTCATAATTGCCATCGACCAGGAAATGACCCAGGGGGCTTGCCCAGAAAATGGCATTTCATTACATTTAACGCTGATATTCTGTGGGGAGCCCTGTTGGCTCCCTGAAGCTAACTACTCAAAGGTAAGTAAAAATAGGGACTTACCCAAAGAGGCGGCAGCACTGCATGTCTCATAACAAAGAAGAAACAGACATGAGTCCTATAACAGGGAACTATGGAAACCGGATCCACCTAGACAGTGTCCACCAATACAAAACCAGAGGCAGGTAGGTGTGTAAAGTCGCCACTGGCCAACATGCGAAGCACCCTGGCCTAACCAACGAAGCATCCACAACAACGAACACCTGCAGAAGCCAGCAGTCTCATTCTGCATCAGAAAAGAAGAGAAAGCCGTAAACGACCACCTAGACCAAACGATCAGAATCCCTGTCGTCGGAGAAGAGCATGAAACTCCCCAACCCAACTCTCAGAGGCCAAAGCCAACTAAAAACAAGGCCTCCAAAAAGCAACCCCGAACCAAAGGGGCCACAACAAATCGAGAGGATAGAAAAGAACCCAGTCCAAAGAACAAGAAGGCTCAGACAGTGCATGAGCAGGCCGGAGGTGTAAAAACACACGAGCTTGCGGAACTGAAATGACATCCACCCCGAACACAAGCTGCAACAGCTCTGCCAACACCGCACAATAAGTGCGGCATTGGAACCTGATGGAGAAGAAAATGACGGAAAGACCACCAGGAAATTTCATACTATCGTTGAGATGAAGACCGCAGGTGGGACACAATCAAAGAAGCCACTTGATCACCATACAAATGGAGACCTGTCCGTCAGAAATACCAGACGCGTAGTGTGGAACAGTAAAGTGAACCAGCAAGGTACCTCACTGGTCCAACCTGCTGAAAGAGGCATAGCCGCACAAAAATGCCCAAGTTTGGACACCGAGCAAGCAGCACCTGAAACCAAGGCTGGGCCTGCCACCATGGAGCCAGGAGAATCACTCTTCCCCCAATAGGAATCCAGCAGAGCCAGAACCCAGAGCAACAGCTGGACTTGGGGGAAAGAGGTACATGAACCCCCATCTCTACCAGTCCTGCCAAAAAGCATCCACCACTAGCGTTTTGCAGTCGGGGAACGGCGCCACTTACAATGGAAGATGCCGAGACAATGCTGACGTGAAGAGGTTCACTTCCTGGCACCCGTACATCCGACCAAGCCAAAAGGAAGGAAGCGGAGTCGATCGTCCACTCCGTGGAAAGAAGGAAGGAAGCAGCGTCAATTGAAAGGTTGTTTAGGCCAAGTGGTTGGGCTGGACGTTCATCAGGGGTAATGGGTAGAGTAGAAAAAGATGGAAGAATCAACATATTTGGTACATCTATAATGGGACACAGGTTGAAGCAGAGTACCCAAAGGAGCCACGGAGACAAAAAGAATGTGTCCAGTGGCAGAGTAGTAAGGAAATGGAATGCAGGAAGCAGTAATGTGGTGAAGGCTGACACCTTACACAAGATCAAAGAGCTCGAGAAGCTCAAAAATGTGTACACCAACAGAATGATGAGAGAGGTAGGCCCAAAGAGTCAAAGCGCAACCCCCAGAAGCACAACTAGAAAAGAACAACAAGGTGAGTACAAACTTACCTACCGATGACACATTTGCAGTGATGAGGGAAGCTCCACTAATTCACACCTCCCCACCCATATCATAGACATGTCTGACATAAGGGAACAGCCGAGTTACTGGTAAGAACAATGGTTCATTAACGAAATGAAAAACAACCAAAATACTGGGAAAGGAATGATAAACTTTCAACTGCCTGACAGCCATTTGCAAAGAGCGGAGGACAACAAACAAACTGCAGCGGAGGGATGGCACACCACGACCGGGTGTGCCACCCTGGTGGCAACATCAAAACCAGGATAGCACCACTCTTGGCCAAAATATAAACAACGAAACTGCTGATCTGAGAGGAAGGAAACGCAGGGGTAACAAAACCATGTGAAAAACGTGCAATAAATGGATAATGAAATATTTTTTTATAACAAAACTGCCAAGTAAAAGATGAACATGTTCGACGAGGGGGACCGTAATTCACGCCGGCCAATATGGTAATACGAATACATTGAAGGGAAGGAGGGGATGAACATACCCTCTTCTGCAGCAACAACCCTTGCAAAAAGGAGAGAAAAGAGAGAGAGAGAGAGAAAAAAAAAAAAAAAAAAAGAGCACAAGCAAGGGCACAAGGAGCCCAAGAACTTCAAGTGGACTCCCCCCTTTCCCTACGGAGTCCCTGGGGGCAGGGGCCTAACAGCTGAGTGGACAGTGCTTTGGATTCGTAGTCCTGAAGTTCCGGGTTCAACATCCGGTGGAGGTGGAAACAAATGGGCAAAAGTTTCTTTCACCCTGATGCTCCTGTTCACCTAGCAGTAAATAGTTGAGAGATCGACAACTGCTACGGGCTGTTTCCTGAGGATGTGTAACAAAAAGCAGGCCTGGTCCTGGACTGGGTCGCGGGAACGCTAAGCCCCGAAATTATCTCAAGAAGAAAACCCTCAACTAAGGCCCAGGGGCAGAGCGAGCACTCAGCATGCCTACTATCCCGGCAGATAGGCAGAGGCGGGAAGAAAAGGCAGAGTCCAGGGGGAAATGCTTCCAAGAAGGGAGTCTGCTAAGTCGATCCAGAAGCCCCCGGCAGGAAAACCAAGCTAAACTACCTATGCATCCGAATCTGAAGGGACAGCACTCAAAGCCACCCGAGCTAGGCCCCGTCCCAACATCGAAACCCTCAGATGTTAGGGACCCAGATGGGATGGGGGGGTTGGGGGGGTTGGGGGGGGGGCAGAGCAGAGTGGGAAGGAAGTGGGGGCAGAGCAGGGTGGGAAGGAAGTGGGGACACAGACGGAACCAAGGCCTAAGCCACCAATTCCCCCCCCCACATCCAAAACCCAAGAAAGGCAACTCTGGGGCCTCCAACTATACAACCAAAAAGGCCTGTTGCAAGAAAGAGAATTAAGCAAGCAACATGGCCGCTGCCTGATCCTTAACCACTGTGATGCGCAGAGTTTATTGTGAAATTTCCCCCGTGCGCATGAAATCAAGTGTTCCCAAAAAATTATTTTTTCTTTGTAAAATGATAAATTCCTTTCCATGAACTGAAGAGAGCTGCCGAACTCGGCTGCTGCTTCGGTCCAGTAGAGAAAGACCCCTATGCCCTGAGTGACCCTGTATGCAGGTCTGATTACAACTTCCAATGTACACGTACCTGCTACTTCGCCACTCACCCATAGCCACAGGACTTGAGGTTGCAATCATGGGTTGAAGTCATGACGAGCTTGATTTGGATTAGTGAGCGAGAGCTGAACAACTCGTCAGCCTCTCACTCTCGTCCCGGACTTTTTGGATCCAGCAGCAAAACAAATTGAGATAGCAGGAGATAGTTTAGAATGCAGTGGATGCCCAGCAGTGTCCTACATGTCTCATTGTATCCTAGTTGCACTCCACAATGCTTTGCTGAGTTCAGTGTTCGCATGCATAGGTAGACAAGCTTTAACCCTTAGACCGCGCAAAACATATATAGACGATGGGAGCAAGTTTATGGAAACCGCGCAATACACATATATAGACTATTTTAAATGCCCCGCGAGGGATAGGGGCAGCTATAGTCCAGCCATGACCGATAGTTACCAGATGCCACCTAGAAAAAAAATTGTGGGCAACATTCCCGGGTGTGAGAGCCTTAGTACCGAGTGAGCCACCAAGGCTGGCGTACACAGGATGAGCTCACAGCACCGCTGTTCAGCTTGTGACCACAGCATCGCCTAAAAATGTCAAAATATATACGTACATGCTATTATATAGCGATGATAGCATTACAGAAGCACTCCCTAACTGTGATAAAACTGACCAGGATTCTGAAAATAGCAGGATTGTGGTGATATTTAGCGCTGTGCTCCATGGTAGGAGGAGAAATGCTGAGGGAGGGAGGGAGATGGCGTTGTCTTCTGACTGTGTGGCCATCTTTTATTGACTAATTACCATACCAGCTTAGTGGTTTGCTATGGTGAACATAAATGTAGATATTTATATATAACGTGTGTATAGTGTAATAATAGCAATATGTTGGGAGCCGCCATTTTGGTGAAGGTGGTGCATCGTCTGCATGACATGTCATGTTTACTGGTGGCCATTATGGTCTTTGGGCACCATACCAGCTTATTTGTGCAGGTATTGGTAAATAAAATATGTAGATACTTATATATAATGTGTGTATAGTGTAATAACACCACAAACAGTATTGTTGGAGGAGAAATATTAGTGCATCTGGCTTTGAACCAGTGAGGGCAGCAGCCACCAGCCGACTATGTGTAGCTACGTCTCTTATTGCCTGAACTCAGACCTATCGGTCTGTAATTTTTTGCCTCTGCCTTATTTCCTCCTTTATGGAGTGGTGCTATCTCTGCTGTTTTTAGTATGTCAGGGATAATGCCAGTATCTAGGGTTTGTCTCCAAAAATGTGAAGGGCCTGTGTTTTTTTTTTTTTTTACAGTTCTTGATGAATATAGAGTTCCAAGAATTAGGGCCTAGTGCAGATTGCATAGGCATACTGTCTATGGCTTCTTCAAAATTGAGTTCGGATAGGGTGACCTCTGATACATTATTTTGTTGGTATCATATCCATGAAAAATTTATTTGGGTTATCAATCTTTAGTTGTTTTCAGCATGCCACTAAACACGAGTAAACAAGTCATACTGCTTCCTCAGTATTTCGCTCATTTCTTTGTTGTCATCGATGAACGTTCCATCTCCCTTTCACAGAGGGCCCGATACTAGATGTGGTTTTTGATCTCTATTTTGCATAGGAGAAAAAATATTTCGGATCTCTCTATTTCACTGATGGCCTTTTGCTCCCCACACATTCTAGCCAGAAATGGGAGAAACATATACCCCTGAATTGTGTATTATTTATTCCTTGTAAAAAACGTGTGAAGCGAACAAAGTTTTTTTCTAAAAAATAAGCTAACAACGCCCCAAGACTTCTTAAACCCATTTGAGGTCAAGGAATGTGAACAAACCGGCTCCCCTACTAACACTCCACAAGGTGCCTCGAGGGATGCAAGAGTCCTTAACACACTCGGGCAATACAGCACTGGAGTTCCTACCTTTCGGCCTCCTAAGGCACAAGGCGCCCGATAGCTGGGTGGACAGGATTCGTAGTCCCGAGGTTCCGGGTTCGATCCCGGTGGAGGCAGACAAATGGGCAAAAAGTTTCTTTCACCTTGATGCCTCTGTTACCTAGCAGTAAATAGGTACCTCGGAGTTACACAGCTGCTACGGGCTGGTTCCTGGGGGGAAGGGGGGTGCGTGTGTAACAAAAAGGAGACCTGGTTAAGGACCGGGCAGCGGGGACACCAAGTCCCAATATCATCTCAAGATAACCTCCTAACGGCAGACCTCAGACAGAACGTGCTAGACAAACTACCTTTAACATAACCTGACCTAGCCCTTTTCCAACACTGCCTAGTGAACCAAGCCCCTAGATTAGGGTATAGGGTTGAGGAGGGCCCACATTTATAACAGTTTACCTGAAAATGGCTAAGTCCATTAGGTTAGGGCAGTTGGCTTCTCAGCGAGTATGGGGACCACCCATCCTGAAAGAGGTTTGCACCCTTTCCCTCAATGCTAGCCTAGAGAGGAAAAAATAATCTTCCCCCTCCCCAACTTGACACAGACCTATTGGGTTGGGATCTAGACAAAATGGTCTGGGACTGAGTGGTGAGGTTGAGGGGGCCCTACATTTAATAATAATACCAAAGTGATTCCCAAGGTAGCGTAGGAGCTTTAAAAAATTACTGTACATGGTATTAAACAGGTAAGTCAGCAAATGCTATTTCCAAAATAAATATTTTAATTAACTAAATATACTTACTGTTCCATTAGAAGGTATGACAACATCAGTAGCCTTGTACTGATCACCATGGGCATGTCTGCCAATAACTATACTTTGAGTCCAACCAGGAACCAAACGAGGGATAGTGTGGCAAAGAATGGGTTCACGGAAAACAGTACCACCAAGAATATTACGGATGGTTCCATTTGGGCTCAGCCACATCTTCTTCAACTTAAACTCTGGAAGAATTATAAATGTATGCAAGTCTTAAGTGTTTGAATAACATGACAGCCCTAGGAAGGGTTATAGATATAGCATTAGTACATTAATAAAATTATATAGTAATATATAGTATATTTAAATGTGAAACTAAAACACTATTAACATTAATACAGTGGAAGCTCGAGTGACGAGCACCTCAATTTTCGAGCCATTTCAATAACAAGTGCGCCGAACGCTGACAATTTGTCTCGATTGACGAGCGTTCGTTTGATTAACGAGAAAACCACATGGTGCGTTCCTGTTGCTTTTCGAACACTGACGCCTCCGACTTAAATAATATTTTTTGTTTTTGTTTAAAGATGATAATGATGCTGGGATGTCAATGTTGCACAGCATTGACTTTTTTGTAGAATAAAAAAAAAATATGAAAAATTAAATAAAGAGATGTCAAAAAGGTTTGTTCTGTGTTTGTCAGGTAGGCTGCTCCACGTTTCTTATATAAAAAAAAATGAAAAACAGACAAATGCCATAAAGGTTCATTCAGTGTTTGTCGGGTAGGCTGCTCCATTATTAATAAATGAAAAATACAAAACAAATTGAACACATTTGAAACAAAAAGATTGTCATAATGGAGCATCCTACCCGACAAGCACTGAACGAACCTTAATGGCATTTGTCTGTTTTTTTTTTTATGAAACATGGAGCAGCCTATCTGACAAACACCGAACGAACCTTTTGATATAAAAAAAAAAATTGAACAAATTTGAAGAAAGAAAAATGTCAAAGGTTTGTTCAGTGTATGTAAGGTAGGTTGCTTCATTATTTAAAACATCGAATATCATATTGATGTTTTTTGGTGGTAGAACGGATTAATTTTATTTCCATTATTATAAATGTGGAAATTTGTTTTTGAAAGACGAGCATTTCACATAACGAGCTCGGTGCCGGAATGGATTAAATTCGTTAATCAAGGTTCCACTGTACTGTATTTCTACTTGTAAAGCTATAAATTTTAAAATAACTAAAGAAATCTGGCAGAACTTTATCCAAAATGCTGAAAATTAGACAGTTTTTTACTTAAATTTAGATTACAGAAATTCATAGTAGTCAACTACAACAACTCTGTGAACATGGAAAGAATCTTTTCAAAATAAAGAATAGTACTGTAAAATGGAAATGGATTAAGAATGCGAGAAGTCAATCTAGAACAATGTCAAACTACTAATGGTAAAAATATAAGACAAAAGAAACAAGTATAGTATGGCAGGGGAAAAAAAAAAGATATCAAACAAAGATTAGGGATAAAAGACTGCCATTAAAAACAGACCTGTAGGTTTAGCAACTGATAATGGTAAATGAAATGGGTGGCATTTTAAACATGTATGTTGTCTCTGCATTTATCAGTACAGTATTACAAATACAAACTGTTTAGGGTAATACAAAAATTAATGTTCTGTCTTTGATGAGGTGGGATGCCTAATTCTGAAGCACCTAGACAGCCCAACAACAATCACACTTTTTCCATTGGAAACTTGCCAGAATCAAAATAAATGATAAAAATCTAACCTTCAACACGTTGTTCATCTGGAGTGATGGTGGCACACTTTATTCCAACATTATACTTCTGGATTGCAAGAGCAGAGTCGATAGTCACCTGATCATCCGTTTGGTCACGATACGGCAAGCCCAAGTCATAGTACTTGCAGTCAATCTTTAATGTTAGAAGTGTAGATATAGGTATTAAAATGCACAGAGATTTTAAAATGTACTATTATTCAGTGGTTAAGAATGGCTTCAAAACAGTTCCAAATGACAAAAGAATCATGGGTGAATTGTACTAAGGTAAGGAAAGAATACAGTTATTACAAATTATTATTAATACCCCCCTCTCAGCACAAAGGCAATTTAAAGCACATTAGTACCGTCACATGTCGAGCCTGGCCTCAGGTCAGACTTGGGAGTAGAAGAACTCCCGAAATCCTCTCTAGGTATGGTAAGAATGGTACAGTACTCAATCTATAACTAGTCTTATTAAAGGCCATACAATTAAAATTACATTACATCTCCATAAGTATTACAAATAACTGGACACCACTTTGAATAGTATAACCACAACACCATATTTTTATCACAAATGTTTAGCCACCGTGCTGTGCCGAGTTTATTGTGAAATTTCCCCGGTGCGCATGAAAAAGTGTTCCCAAAAAATTATTTTTTCTTCATAAAATGATAAATTTCCTTCCCTGAACATGTCTATGTAAAAATAAATACCAAATTCCACTTGCTTTGGCTGTGGGGACGTGGATAAGGTGCGCTGTGACGTAATCAGGGCCTGGTCGCTGCCCCGTGAGTGAATCGCCCAGACATAGTCGCGCGGGCCATTCAAGCGCCGGGTGTTGCCACAAATATATTTTCAATTATTTGTTTTATGTATTTCCAATGCAGTTTTATTTTTTTTTATTTTATATGATGCATATTTGTGTGCTTTACAATATGTATACAGTAGAACGTTCATAATGTTCCCTGGAACTGTGATACATGTGTCAGTAATGTGTCCACAATAAATGTTTATTGTCGCAATATTACCTGTTAAAAATTCACTAAAATTACAATATGTATAGTTTCACACACTATTTACACAGTAACACACTGTATTAAACACTCAGTACTTGGGAAGTGAGTAATAATCAACAAAGTAGCACATGGTACACAGCGTGACTCTCTCTCAGTGCACCAAGTACAGATAAATTTTCGCTTCCTGTTTCTTCATTCTGTGTGCTTGCAAATAATGCCCTCACGTACACCCTTGGCTTTAGTACTTGTAGGTTGTAGGTAGTCAGTTGTCCAATCCCTTGAGTGGGATTTTTATTACGGTTTTTATTACGTTTATTAGAACGGTTTCCCATTGAATGTTTGTAAGTTAGCCGTTTATTTTTCCCAGTCTATTCTTTTATTATTATAACTGAATTTATTGAATAACCTCTCTCGCTAGATAATTGTTTTAGGTGTATTATGAGTATTTATGTTAGTTTTTCCCTTCGATGAGTTTGTGATCCGAGTGATATCTGAGATTGTAATGTCTCTGATTAAGTCTTCATTGTTTGTGAAGACCAGATTTAGAATACAGTATTTTCGTTCCTAGTTGGTTCTGTTGCTCCGTTATATATAACTACGTACAATATAAAACACCAAAAATTTAATGTTTTATTGTCTTAAGCAAATAATATAGTACGCTTCTTAGTGACACGAATATGTTTGAGCATTACAATGTTTCACACAAACAGGTGTGCAACCGAGAGATTAAAAGGTAACATGTAAAACATACAAGAGGTAACAGCTTCAAGACTCAAGTTACAATGTAGGACAGAACAGGAGATACTTTTTTTCACCCATAGGGTTATAAACCCTTGGAACTGCCTACCAGCTGAAGCTGTAAATACCAAGATATTACTGCCATTCAAAATGTAGCTGGAAAAAAATTCTCAGGAAAAATTGTGGCCACTAGATGGATGGTTACCATCTGGTCAATTCCAGTAAATAGCAAGCAGACACTGCCAAAGAACATTCTTACTCCATAAAGATAGCTAGGAGACACTTTCAACTCTTCTCACCTCTGTATTCTAAATTTGTTCAGAAGGGAGAGTACAATTTAAGAATACTGTATTCATAATATTGTTTGTATAGAGAAATATGCACAACACAGCACTGGATACAATATTTTCCTAAATTGGCAGCAAAGAAAAATGATCTACAACACACTAGTTATGCTAGAATTTTGGTCTGAGGACACTGCTAGCTGTACATTACCTTAAGGTAGGGGAAGATTAGGTACTCTTTAATTTTCTCCCAGATGATACGAGTCATCTCATCGCCATCCAACTCTACAACAGGATTTACCACTTCAATGCGTTTGTCTGTGCCATCTGGAAAGCAATGAAAAATATTAGAGAAAATGGCTACTCTAAATAATAATTGTCTAAGTGCCAACCTGTTCACTTATATATATATATAAATATGTATGGACCTGTACGGTCCCCTGGCACCCATACGGTGCCAGGGAATTACATATAAAAAAGCCATGATAAAACTGGATTTCAAAAATGCTTTCAATCTGGTAAGAAGGGATACAGTACTAAGTGCGATTCATTACATTTTCCTTCCCTCTACCCGTTTATAAACTTGTTACAGCAAGAATCTAACTCTTACTCGCAGAACATGAAATTGAATCACAAGAAGGTGTCCAACAGGGTGACCCTCTTGCTCCTTTTCTTTTCTTTTCTGCCTAGTCATCAAGGAAATTACTGATATCCTGTCCAGTGAGCTCAACATATGGTTTCTGGACGATGGTACTCTAGCTGGCTCCCCAGACTCCCTCCTGAATGACATAAGAATAATTCAGGAGCAAGGAGCAAGTCCAGGCCTCACCCTGAACTCTTCCAAGTGTGAAATAACCTCCACCAACCAGCACATAATAGAGCAAATAAAGGTTGTTTTGCTTGATATCCATAACCAACCCTGATGACAGCACACGCCTAGGAGCTCCTCTTGGAGGGAACACCATCGACGAGGTCCTTGGTAAGAAGATCACTGACCTGAAGAGGATGGATAAGAGGATCGAAGACATTGATGCTCATGATGCACTTTACCTCGTCACCAGATGCTTGTCCCTCCCCAGGCTGACCTACTTTCTTAGATGTTTGCCATCTTCCAATAATATTAAATCAGAAGAGTACGACAGCCTGCTGAAATCAATGTTAGAAAAAGCCCTCAACCTTTCTCTCAGCGACTCAGTGGAAACAAGCCTCACTTCCTGTCAGATTTTAGACTATGTGGAGGATTAAGGATTCTGCATCCCGCAAGATTTATACTCATTACCGAGCTGTTTACAAGTTATTCCTATTAGTACTGCCGAGTGAGGGGAGATTCAATCACATGAACCTGATAACAAAACGCTCAAGAATTCTCAAATCATGTATACTCGTTTTGATACCTGTTTGATGGGGTTCTGGGAGTTCTTTTACTCCAAGCCCGGCCCGAGGCCTAGCTCGACTCGTGAGAGCTTGGTCCAACAGGCTGTTGCTTGGAGAGGGCCCAAAGGTTCACATATTCACCACAGCCTGGTTGGTCCAGCACTTCTTGAAGAAAACTATCTAGTTTTCTCTTGAAGACATCCACAGTTGTTTCATATAAGCACTTATGTTTGCTAAACTAATTGGACCTCCTCTAGTTCAGTGGAATCCTGAGTCGTATGCCACATCACGGCTGTAGTACCACAGATCGCCACAGGACACCACAACAAGAGTAGTTCACTCCCCCAAAAATCTCTCACACCTTAGTGGAAACTATTGTGAAACTTTTCACTGGTTGTATTTTGTAAACACTAAGTGTTTTAACTTCTTAAATTCATAAATAAATGATGTTTTCTTTATTTGTTTGATAATTATATTTTATAGTTAGTGATTACAAACACGAAATACTTAATCGTGTGACATATGTAGAAACAGGATAGGAAATGACAGGCTTGTGTCAGGCCCATCAGAGCTTTGGCACACTCCACTCCTTCCTACCCTCAGATAAACTAACTTAGGTGCCCAGTCAATCCTACATACAGGCAGGGAACATACAGCTTAGCCCCGTCGTTACCATAATTAACAACTACAACGACAAACCTACATTACACCAACTCCACACAGTGGAGGTAGTGCGGGTAGGCAGGTCCCCGCCGGCGACCTCCGCCAGACCAGTATTACCCGGCTGACTAAATTAGCAGCGGCCGGCTACCCGGACCCGGCCACCGCCGGCCACAATCACAATCTCACGATTTAATACTTACAGCCGCGCCTCTGGGTCGTCATAGTCGGTAGAGCCACTCGGGACTGTAATGGCAACGCCGCACGGGCTGCCTTGGTGATGTTGGCAAGTGCAGAAGTCATGGTGAGGAGAAGAGAAGTAGAGTTGAGCCGCTGACCAGTGTATGAGCGCCGCTGCTGCCAGCCACTACTGCCACCACTGCTGGCTCTCTCCTCCTTCACACCTTTACAATCTTAAACATTTATCCACCACCAACACCGCTTTTTATCTTCAACTGGAACATCCAAAACAAATTTTATTATTCATATTTTCAATATAATATTGTTTTACGTTTGTAGATTTGACGTCAACTATTGTAATGTGAGATGTATAAGGTGTGAGGGTGCGCAGGAGGCGGCGCCGGGGCCGAGCAGACGAGCACTCGGCCAGGCTGGGGCGAAGTGTTCACAACAACATCAACTTTCAGCATTTTCTTTAGTTTTGTGGTTCAACTAGCGGTAAGTAAGAGGTGGCGTGTACTGTACCTGAAGGGCAGCCACCAAACATTACAGGTTGTGGTGTGAGTACGGTAGCCATGTCTGGTGGGGGGTTTACAGGTTTCCACTCGCCCGCCGGCCTCTGGGTGCCATACTCGGGGGCTTCTCACTTGCCGGCTGGCTCTCCACGGAACGATGGCAGGCTTCTCATACTCCGGCTTGCTCTGGATGGGGACGATCGGGGGCTTCACGTCCGCCGAATTGCTTTGCACGGAGCGTCAGGAGGTTCATTCACCGGGTTGCTCTGGACGGACCGATCAGGGGCTTCATTCGCCGGCTTGCTCCGGACGTAACACTCCGGGACTTCATCCACTCTGTTGATCTAGACAGAACGATCCAATCTGGATTTGGACGTATAACAACAACTTACTGGAGTGAACGATATGGAAGAAAACGCAGAATAGAACCAGTGAAGAGCAGAGAACACAATAAACATAGGTTTCCACGGTTGTTCAACATCCTCCCAGTCAGTATAAGAAATGTTACCGGAACAACCATGGACATCTTCAAAAGAAAACTAGATAGTTTTCTTCAAGAAGTGCCGGACCAACCAGGCTGTGGTGGATATGTGGGCCTGCGGGCCACTTCAATTAACAGCCTGTTGGACCAGGCTTTCACAAGTAAGAGTCTGGTCATAGGCCTAGCATGGGGAGTAGAAGAACTCCCAGAACCCCATCAAGCAGGATCAGGAGCTCATCCGCAAGATTCTGCAGACTGGCATAATCAGGAGCTTCTCGCCCTACATCACAGCCCCCTAGCTGTGTCAGTACTGGGCTGTCACAGCCCTCGCCAGCTGTGTCAGTACTGGGCTGTCGCAGCCCTCGCCAGCTGTGTCAGTACTGGGCTGTCGCAGCCCTCGCCAGCTGTGTCAGTACTGGGCTGTCGCAGCCCTCGCCAGCAGTGTCAGTACTGGGCTGTCACTGCCCTCGCCAGCAGTGTCAGTACTGGGCTGTCGCAGCCCTCGCCAGCAGTGTCAGTACTGGGCTGTCGCAGCCCTCGCCAGCAGTGTCAGTACTGGGCTGTCGCAGCCCTCGCCAGCAGTGTCAGTACTGGGCTGTCGCAGCCCTCGCCAGCAGTGTCAGTACTGGGCTGTCGCAGCCCTCGCCAGCAGTGTCAGTACTGGGCTGTCGCAGCCCTCGCCAGCAGTGTCAGTACTGGGCTGTCGCAGCCCTCGCCAGCAGTGTCAGTACTGGCTGTCGCAGCCCTCGCCAGCAGTGTCAGTACTGGGCTGTCGCAGCCCTCGCCAGCAGTGTCAGTACTGGGCTGTCGCAGCCCTCGCCAGCAGTGTCAGTACTGGCTGTCGCAGCCCTCGCCAGCAGTGTCAGTACTGGGCTGTCGCAGCCCTCGCCAGCAGTGTCAGTACTGGGCTGTCGCAGCCCTCGCCAGCAGTGTCGGTGGAAGGAAGAGGGGAGTGTGAGGAAGGGAGGAGGGGAGAGAGAGGGGGGAGGAAGGAAGAGGAGAGGGAGGGAGGAGGGGAGAGAGAGAGGGAGGGGAGAGAGAGGGGGAGG